ACTTCAGTGTGTGTTCATACCAATATGTTCATAGCTCAGAGTGTTAACTGAATCCTCATTATGCAAAATATCAAATATTGTACTACAGTAGTATAATTTGCTTCTTTTCCCATCTGTTGGACATGTTATGCTGTGGATATATTTTAGCTTGTGTTTTATATGTGTACGATTGAAAACCTTGAAAAATGGACAAGTAGCATTTCTAAAAAAAAAACCTGACGACTAAAAAACAATATTAGCTGTAAAAATCATGTACAAGACAATGTTGACCATGTATTAAGCTATTCCGTGACATATTGTTGTCTATATACAAAACAAGTTGCAAGATACGGCAATGTCTGCAAACACTCACTCCATTTTTATTTTATTATAATTATATTTTATGATTCTTTTGCCCTGATTATGTTTATAATTTGGATACTCATTACTTTATTCATGACATGATTTATTTAAATATATAATTTTCATGTGCAAATATACCAAGAAACTGATTGTTTCTTATTATGCTAGTTTCATTATCCATAATCTGTATTTATGCCTGTATATTGCATTAAGTGTACAGTTTCAATGTTAAAGTGTATACCATTTTATACTGTTTAGTGCTTATATGGTCAGGAGCAATAAAATATTAGGGATAAGGGTGTTCACAAACTGGGTACTTTCTTTTGATAATATTTTACACGACATTTCCTAGTAAAAAAATTATGCTTCTCATTGCAATACTGTAGCAAAAAGCATATGCTTGCTTGGAGGCTCCTACAACAGGAACTGTGACCATAAGAGGAGGATCTCTAACCAGCCCTGTCTAACAGTCTTTTAGGCTGTTCTATTTCACGTGTCATGGTTATCTATGCATGTGTAGTGCACTTTCCTTTTAACATAATGTTGGTTTTCTACCCATAGGCAAAGCCTTGTTGAGTATGGAGGGAATTGCCTACTTTCTTTGTCTGGAAAGCGGTCAAGAGTGGCTTATGAAGTATCTTATGTCCTAAGGTGAGGAGTGAAACAAAAACTTAAGCTTGTGGTTGACAATTTTATGTTTAATACATAATTAGAATCTAGAAATATATGGTCAATATGAGAGTTGAGTCTGCTCAGGAACTGCACCTCTGGGCACTATATCTCAAGAGGAGACAAAGTTCTGGTCCTTTATAGGTTTCCTCAGTCTTGCCTTTCTCCTGCTCCAGCTAGGTGAAATTCAATGCTCTTCCTAATGCCAGATGGAGATCATGCTTCTGAAATAAACTCTGCCCCTCCTGAGTTTGGTTCTACAGCTACATCCTGATTAGAAGGTAATGCCATATTTTCTGGGGGGAAGTGGCACCTGTTGTCGGCCATAGGTGGTTTGGTGCATTCTGTATCTTTAGCATGGTGTTGGCAGGTGAAGAACCTGGACTTCTTGAAACAGGTATTCTATGCTATTGTGTGTGTGTCAGAGGGGTAGCTTCTGGCAGCATTGTGTCCAGGTTTCCATGTTATCACAGCATACTTTGAAAATGTGCATGTGCCTGGCAGATATAATTTTTATTCTTCCTGCTAGAGGCTGTTTGCCCAGCATTTAATTTGGATGGGCTTGGCTTGAGGGTGTAATTGAACTGCCTGACTTTTTCCATCGTTTTATGAACTTGTCGTCTTGGTATTAGAGTACGTATACACATCAACACGAAACAATGGATATGAACGTGATACATTATAATTCAGTAGGTCAAATGTAAATTACTGGTTTGGAAATAGATGTTGCTTTATGAAACATGTTATCGGGGTAACAAATAATTGACATAAGAGTTGCTGGAGTGCCTCAAGTATAGATTAGGCAAATATTTCAGTGGGTGTAATTGGGTATAATAGGAACTGCCTCACATGGCCAATAGCATTGCAGTTTGTTATTAACCGATATTTCTCTAATCACTATGCAATTTCCTCATGTGGTCCATTCACCATGTGCAATTCTTTTCCATTTTATTTGTTAACTATTTTTAGCTGGGTGTAACTTGTAGTATTTTGAATAACTGTACACTTCAAATCTGAATAGCATATTTTAAATACTGTATAGCTAAAATCAATATTTTCATATTGGCAATATTAAATATAAAGGTAGAGAAGCGCGAACATAAGAAATGGTTGAGCACATTTCACCTCGTGCCTCGGCCTAGCAGTAAGTAGGTACCCACGACTTGCGTAACTATTGCAAGTTGTGTTAAGGGAAGGTAATCTTGTTCTACACAATTCCCTACCCTTCCTCATCCTTTTCCATCTTGTGCAACAGCTGCTAGTCTGCAATTACTTAATTTGCAGCACATGTATTGACACCGATGTTGGCATTAACTTATGATTTTCTTAACTACTTTACAGGCAACTTGTGATTTGATTGTTGTTGGAAAAATGCAGCTTCCAAGTTAAGCAGGCAAGCACTTTTTGCAAACTTTTGAAGAGTGTGGGTGAGTTTCCAAATTATGTTGGTTGAGAACGGATTGACATTTTAGAACACAATCCATACCAGTTCCTGGGTCTACCACAATTTCTGGTTTTATGAATATGTTTTTTAGTTATGTTAATGAAGTATGAATGTGCAATGATGCATAATGTTCTGAATTTGTACAAGAAAGTGGAAGGAGCGTTATTTATTAAGGTTAAGATAGGTGGTTTGCCAAGTGGAATAAACTAGAGGTTTCTGGAATACGTACAGTATACCTAGTATAGTATAGAAATGTACCTGCATACAGAGTCGTTAAAAGTTGTTAAACATTTGATGGAATTTGCCAGTGAGGCATCCAGATAAAAGTTTTCCAAAGCAGATTCATTTGTGAAGCCTGTCGTGAGAGGGCGCTCGATAATAATAGTTTGACAAATACTTTTGTAATAAAGGCAATTTGAAGTGTACAGGTCTATTAAACAGGGTACTCTGCTGTAAGAATGGTGCTTGGCTGCAGCCACCACCACTGCCTAGTACAACCTTCTTAATATTTAGAATAAAGCTGTATGTGTGAAATGTGTAAATAAAGATAAGACAAATTTAGGTGCAGGGGGGTGGGGTGCTCTGATCAGCACTGGGGATTACATTCCTGCAAAAACAGTTCATTCAAGTTTCACTTGCAGGAATATTTATTTGAATAGTATATGGGAAAGTTAGGATTAGGTTACAGAGACCTCAAAAGTTAACTGCCAAGAAGTAGTATTTACAGTAGCTGACCGCTTTCTTTCTAGCTCCTGGCCCACCACATGGCCAGTAATACTTTTAATACTGTATGTTAGATACAATGTAGTCCAATTATACAGAATGCTCCATATTTAAAGTTAAGTAAACTCGTAAATATTTGTTGCTAATATAGTAAGATCTTAGTGTAAAGCCATAAGTGCAGATATAACATGAAGCCAATTGAACCTGTATTGCCTAATTGATTTATCAAGTATTCAATAGAGATGAGACTGGTTTGTACTAGAGAAGCTACCAACATTAGCTAATAGGCTAGAGGAAAGTGTATAAAATAGAAAGTTTCTAAGAGTGTGCGTGCTTTGGTATAATCGAATGCAGACATCAGCCATACAGTAAAGCGTGAGGAGGTAAGCAAGGCTACAAATCCTAGAGCAATAATTAAATTTATGTACAACCTAATTGTAGGCTATCAGTAAAAAGCAAATATGCTTGATACAGACTCTAAACATCATGTCCAGTTTTGCTATAACCCAGTTACTACAAAAAGTCTGTTAAACATATTGCTAACATGGCCAATTTTTCTGGTAAGGGTTTATTTATAAATTAAAAAATTCTAGAGTATCAAATGAATGTAAGAGGGGTGAGATCATATAACAATTTAAGATTTTATGATTGCACTGTAATTTGTATTGTATAACCACCAAACACCACTTCTGGAACTTTACAAAGTAAACTGTGTACAAGGCATGCAAATGATTTAAACTTAACCCTCCCCCCCCCCCCCACTTGGCCATTCTAGGGGTCACAAGCCCAGTGGAGCTTCACCGTCCTTGCCCACGTGGAGGGTCCCTTTTCCTAAATATTGTAAATCCCTGACCCACATCACTAAAGCTTTTTACCCCTCCTACATTTCTGAAACTCCTTTTCCTTGAACACTTTTTCTTCACACTCTCACTCCATTTCCATGTTGACTGATGGGTCTAAGTCTGCAGATGGTGTTGGCTACTCTTGTTTTGTATGTGTTGCCTGCCTCCGGAGACTAGCATCTTCACAGAACTTTATGCTATTCTCTCTACTCTTTGTCTCCTGCTTTCTCAATCCTCCTTTGTGGTTGTAGTTGACTCTCACAGTGCCCTCATGGCTCTGGAGTCCTTTAATTCAGTCGATCCGGTGGTGGTCGAGATTCAACATTGGCTGTTTATCTCTAGTAGATTTAAGACAGTTGAGTTTTGCTGGATTCTCAGTCATATTAGTGTCTTTAAATGAGCGTGTGGACGCTGCCACTAAGGAAGCTATTCGCACTTGTCCCATCTCCCGTAAAGGTATTCCTTATTCCGACTTTTAGCCAGTTATTCATTCCTCATCCTTGCCCATTGGCAGGGTTGTTGGTCTTCTGGTACTGGTAACAAACTACATACTTTTAAGAATAGTATGTCCCTGTGGCCTAACTCTTACCACCATAACCTTGCCAGAGCCGTTTCCCACCGCCGGTTGTGTATTGGCCATACGCGCTGAACTCACGGACACTTACGAAGCAAGGCAGCGCTCCATTATTGTTTTAACTACATTGTCCCTCTTACAGTTGTGCATATCTTTGTTGAATGTCCAGACTTCCAGGACGCGCGAGTCTTGGTTTCCGACTATCCCTCGATAGAATTCTTAGTGAATCGGATGCTTTTGATATCGTTTGCCTTATGCATTTCTGTTCTCTTGTTGGCATCCTTAGTGATGTTTAGCGCCCTTTCATTATTCTGCACATTTGATGGTCCTACATAGCCTTCCCGGCTTGGTGCCTTCTTTGATTACTTCACTTACCTTATAAGTAAACAAGTAGTTAACAAATTTGTTTTGCTGCTGTACCATATTTATATTGCTGTATTAAAACAAGGTTTTCATGATATTTTACTACATATACATGCACTTACATAAGTTCCGTTAAAAATAATATCTGGTTGAGAATGACTGCTCGTGCAGGCACAGAATGGAACATAATTTGCGACAGAACAAAAGTGGTGATTCCCAATTTGTCTATTTAAATTGAAGTACAGTATTTATGAAGAGTTTTATCAATTTAACACTGAAAGTGACTAACTTCATGTTTATGCTTATTAATAATTTTTTGACATTAGTTTTCCAAATCTTTGTGTACTTTGAACTTGACTCATATTCAAGCATATACTAGATCATATCGACAATAGAAAACCACAACACATTCTTATAAATTGAGCATCCAAAATGCATGGAATCACATAAAAAAGAACTGTGTATTATGTACTGTGGTTTAGCAATATATAACAGGTTACACAACATCCATCCCAGAAAGTAAGGAACCCATTGAACAGTTTACCTTTAACAGCTATCTAGATGTCACCAGGAACAGTCAAAATGACTAAAGTAAAACATACAGATTGTGATAAAGGAGGAAAAGGCTTTGCTTAAATTGTACATTAATTTCAGTATATTTATAATTAGCTCATACAATATTGAGTAATGTCATTATGATATACCATCATCTGCCCTTTGTATAATGTCACTTCATTGAAGCACAAATATTTGTGCTCCAATGCTGCTTCTATTATACTCAGTAATTGGCTTTGCTTCTAGTAATTAAATATACTAGTACAGTATACATATCAAAATATACCTGTGAAATGTAATAACTGTATACATTATTGAGAGTGCAGTAATTTTCACTGGCCCTTTGTCAGACTTTGAGGAATTGTAAAAATAAGCTTGTCGTCATTCGAACTGTATACAAATCTTGTGCCCTTGCTGACTTTCAATGTCCAGTGAAAATTGAAAAAAGTTATACTGGTTCTGTACACAAAACAAATTTGGAAGTAAGTGCTTGGAATTTTTTAATAAGTATATATGAATGATCTTTCATTGAATTGTAATTTCATAATCCAGCCCCGCCTTAAATGTTCTACATCAGAATATGCAATTATTGTAATTTCCTAACAACTTGATGTAAAATCCATAGTTATATTGTAATGTCATAAATAACTTTGCAAATGCAGGACAATTCTTACATTTATATTTCAATGCAGCTTAGCAGGCTGGGCCACATTAGACAATTGTGAAGCAGGCCTGACCACAATAGTGTTAACTAATAAGCAGTGTAGATTCAAAGCTGTTTAGTTATGGCAGAGATATATAGTATTGTATATATAGTGAGAGAGGGTGATGAAACATCTGGGAGGCATGGAAAGCGACATAGATGTGGGACTTTTTATGAGATACATTAGGGTGACAGGAGAAATTAAACTAGTGGCAGCCCCAGTAAAGTTTACACAGTACTGTAGTGTAAATTAATGACCTGGCAGATTGAGTACAGAGTTACATGATTTCACAGATAATGCAAAAGTAATCACCCAAATTACAAATACGTATGAAATTGAAGCATCTTCCAGCATGACTTGGGCTGAGCAATTGAAGTGAACAATATCTGATGAAATATAATGCGGGGAAAATGTCATGCAAAGCATGATTTCAGTTCAACACTGATGCATGTCAAGCAGAGGAAATAGAACTTTGAGTGACTTTTAATATCACCACAGGATCACATAAATGACAGTGCCTGAGCATATACAATGCTCAGCAACTTGAAGATATAACTTAAGGACAAGATGGAAACCTCAGAAGAGAGGGTAGATTTCCAATAGCTGCCTAAAATGGGATAGAAAAAAACACAAAAACATCACCACATAGACAACGATGACTGAATTTGAAAATGTTGATACACTTCAAAATACCCACTGCAAATAAAGCTAAGACATGGGTGCTTTTTCAACCTATACACCACATGTTAAAGGAATGCTATAAAATTTTATTTTGGTAATTTATCAAATGCAGTTAAAGACTGCATTTCATAAAATTCATAATGGTAACAGGACACCCCAAGCAGTTTGCTTCCTGTGCTTTTAATTACTGTAGGTAATTTTATAATATACTGTACCCAGTATATCTATACCTGTATAAATATACATACTATATACAACAATATATAGATTGTCACATTTGACTTCACAAATGCAAATACGAGCTGAGCACTTTCTTCCGTCTTGCAAATGTCGTCGGCGACTAAACACAACAGGTCAGAGCCAAGCAAAGCCCAGACCAATAAGCAAATAGCTGCCAACTAGCCCATGAACTTGAAGATGTGTACACGAAAAACAATACAATGAAATAATACATAAAATAGGCTGCAAAAATAAACCTAGACACTAGTTAATCACAAACTATTTTGTAGCATTCTACCAAACAACCTGGATAACAAGTAGAGGGAATCATTTCACCCATGAAAAGGGGCTGGGCCAGACTACAAAGCGGCACATACATAGGACAGGTTGTGTCTTGATGCAGTTGTCAGCTAACGACGTTTCCCACACTATCATAGACAAATACCCCCATTGTGCCACAATTTATATATATAAAATATTGAAAAGTGTAAGACAAAATAGGATTGCATCCTCAAGCAATATGCTTAATACATGTCCCTGACATGTAAAATTAAACCTCTAAGCATGCTTGACAACAAATTTGACTTATGAAAGCTTTTCTTGGCACATTATCCAGAATTGCAGCGTTTAAGGGTATATATTTTTATAAGAATATTAATAACACATCAGATTTTATGTTAATATATATATACTGTACGGTACCGTTTTTGAAGCAAATCTGGTAAATAACTATTATACACCCCTAAATACTGTACTATACTAGCCCACTTTAATAAACATTTAAATCCTTTTAGTTAAGAGCCATCGTTTTCTACGATGGAATTAAACCAGTCAGTAATGTAAGATGTTATTGGAGTGATGAACTTGGAAATGCTTGTGATGGTCGAGTAAGTAGCATCCACAGCGACTAAAACCCAGCCCTGTGTTGTTTCCACTAAGCGCATTACTGTTGGGGTCCAAGCCTCTACTGCACTGTCAACCTGTGGAAGTAGTCAGTATATGTGCTGCTGCTAGTTAGAAATAAACATATGAAATACTGTACATTAAAAAATACTTGGAATGCAATACTAGTCTACTTGCATGTTTTAAACTACAGTATTGTATAGTATATTTAAATATTTTCTTAAGTCACTTACATATTAAAAAAATAAACTTTCTCTTCCTCAGAATTTACCAGTACTAGACTTTTGCTTCAGGATTTGCTACTCTAAAACAGCAGTATCAAAGGGGCAAACCACGCAAGAGCCAGAGCAATGAACCCCAAGCCAATGCACCCTTCCACGACACGCAAGAAGGGGGCTGATCAGAAGCAGCGAAAGCTAAACAAGTGCAATGGGCCACATGCAGTGGGAACCACAGAGGAGTTCATCTCAAATAATGGAGGGGGGCTACAACAAACTCTCCCCATTTATTGACTACTACTCCTCAGAGGCAACCAATAACCAACCAGGGTGATAAGGCATTCAGGATACCCCAGAAGTGGGGGGGGGACACCAGCATAGAGCCACGATCCATGCCAGATATAAAATACATTTTGTCTCCCCACAAGGATCTGTGCCAGAAAAGTCCCCTAGAGAAACAGAAGGCAGCAGCTCAACTAAATCTGCCGTTGAAGTAGAAAGGCAGTTGGCTCAAACGTACTAAACAGTCATCACCCCTAGACTCGGAAACCCTCAATCATCTCAGAACTGGGAGACCCATGTAAAAGGGGCACCTTCCAATTGGAAGTTTGCCTCTCAGAAAACAGGCCAAACCCCCCAGAGAAAGTAACTCTGGGCAGGCTTAAGGCAACAGCAGTGAATACCAAGAGATGACCACTAGGCATATGCAGTTCAAGATGAACAGTTAATAAAAGTCCACACACAAATGAGGCAAAAACATAAACAGTGTGAAGCACACATTAAAACAAATAGCAAATACACAAGGAAATGACACCTGTAGGGGGACATAAAACTGAATCCAGGATGGCCAGCACTTAATTGAAAAACTGGGAGCCAAAGGGCACTGGGGTGTGAAAAGGAGCATAACCATAAAACTCATAAACATAAGTGCTAGGCACTATGCCTTGAGGTGTCAAGGTTGGTTTCTAAACTGTCTTGGTCTCTATATAACATCTTGGCATTTCCTTCCTCTCAAATTATGGTGGCCCTTTCAGTTGGGAATATTTGTATCAAAGTAGCATTTTTGTTGCCTCATGTCTCTGGCTAAAGGGTTGGGGGGGGAGCTTTCTCCCCTTCTCCAGGTTTGTTCATTTGTAAAACTTTTCCTTTTCTGGCAAACAATGAGTCGGCTAGCTTTCAGAAAGGTCCTTCGGTGATTGATGCTTGGTTGGTGCAGTCAGGGGTGCGTCGTTGTTTTGTGCTGCGACAGGTAGCTGCAAAGCGCTGTGTACCACAGCTTCTGCCTTGCTGCCTATTTCTTTAGTCCTCTGTTTTAAGGCTTGTATTTTCCAGGTTGTAAACAACATCACAGCTAGCCAACCTGTGACCTACCTTCGGGCCCATGATATTTATACATACGCAGCACTGCCTAATGTTTTTTCCTATATGTTGTGAACTGATGTTTGGGCTCAGGTTTTGGAGATCCAACAGGTTCTTGGCTAATTACCCATTTGTAATTAGCCAAGTGTAGCTACAGAATGAGAGCTGTGCTCGTGGTGTACTGTCTTCCCAGTGCTCCTCGTCATACAACAGTTTGAAACTACAGTACTGTACTGATGGTTTTGGTATTCACTGCTTTCTTGCTTGATTTGTTCCAACCATCTACCACTTTGCAAAAGAGAACTTTCTAATTTTTACCTTTGTTTACTTAGCTTGTATCTGTGCCCTCTTGTTCATGAATTTGCAGGTTTCAAGAAATCATCTTGTTGATTTCTGTGACTATTTTGTGTGAGTACTTGGTTAATGTCTTCGGTCCCAATCAGTCTTGTGTGATGTTGGGTTTAGGAATTGTACCTGCTGTATCTCCTTCTCCCTGGAAAGTCCCTTGTTTTCCCGTTTCTCTGTGGTTAGTTTCAGGGTGCCACCAACAGGCTCATAGAATACCAGGATTGAGTGTAATAAAACGCCTCTTTCTGGAAGAGTCCTAGTGATTCCCCGACTCCCTACCGAGTTTGTCGATTAGTTGTCCATCAGCTCCAGATTGACCTTGGAGCCGACTGTGGCCAGGGCTTCAGGCCACCTAGTGGTGGCAATTAGTAATAATAGGTTTGAGTTACTGTAGTTTCAAGTGAATCATTTGTTCTGAATGAACCACATAGTTGTTTGCCAGTTTCGATGCTGTTATCTTGGTAAGACCACTAGGGCTCTATTCAAGAGGCATTTTGTTTCAGTGCTGGTTTAGTTACCTTACTGTTTGTATGTGTGTTTTGGTTTGCCCACCTTTCTGGTGGCCTTTTCTTGCTTAGGGTGATCTATGAGTCCCTGCTCCTTGTGCCACTTTGAAGGTGAGGCAGGTTTTGGCCTCTGATACCCTGGTAGCCTTACATGACTTGCAAGGGCTTGGCACTGATTTAATTTTGTAGATCTTCCCAAGTAGCAATCACAAAGGACCACCATAGGAGCCCTCCCAGAAAATTATACTATGTATCTGTGTATACAACAGGCCTTACCTGTATTAGTATCATATTTGTTAACTTAAGAGTACTTGCATAATGTACGACAAATAATTGTATTTTAAGACTGGTCTGAAATAGTATGTACCTAATTAGAAGCCTGGTAAACTGTATACAGTATTCTAGTTCATCAATTGTATGTGTGGAAATAATCATGATTTTTATTACAAATAACTTTAGTATAGTACTGTATACATTTTTCAGTCACACATGAATACTGTACCTGTTGACCAAGGGTTTGTTGGGAGATAGCCGACAGGTTACTGACATTATGGGTCATACAAGTAGCTTTGGGTGTGTCTTGGCACTCATGACACCAGAGACTGGAAAATAAACAAATATATTAAACAAGACACTGTGGATGACAGATTTATCAGGTGTGGCAATGATGTAAATGTTTACTGGAAGATGTTGTAATGGTATAACAGCACTGAAGGCTGTGCTAATGGCATCACAGTTCACTAAAATCTGTAGTAATAGTACATAATAGGAATTAGGTTGTATCATGCAGTAATCTGTGAACATACAATTAACAGAAATATTGTAAATAGCATATACTCACTTGATAAATAGATTGCCATAATTTGCCATGGTGAGAATATCATTGTTGGTCTGGAGAACATTTGCAGAGGTGACATGAGTGGTCTTTCGGCACAAGGGACACTCGATCTTGCCAACATTGAGCAACTGGTGGATACACTCCTCACAGAAGGTGTGATGACATTCAAGATATTTTGGGGGCCTCTTCTCACTGAATTCATCCAGACACACTGAACAGGTCTGTAATAGTTAGAAGGCTAATTAAGAAAATCATACCGTTTCAAAGATATTCGAATACATAGGGAACAAGTGATGAAAGGCCCGGCAGAAACTGCTGGGGCCTTTCTATTTGATATTTTGTCAGCCATGGCTGCTTACACCCCTCCCCTTTTGTGGCTTACAACTCGAGATGTGACTGTTTTTGGAACCTGATGATTGTTCTTATTGTTTCTATTGTGAGTGGATGGTAGCATCTCAATGTATAGCTTCAGGGAGCCACTGGGACTCAAAAAAATATAATGCACATTTCTAGGTGTTTTTTTTTTGCAGACTGGCTTGCAGGGGGCAGGGCTTTTAAATGTAGGGTTTTATAGCCCATGTCTATAGTGGGTGATCCACCATTGATTTTTCTGTGGAAGTTTGTGTCTGTTGTTCAACACTTGTCATATTGGATTGAGTCAGCTTTCTGTGCCTCAGCAGATATGGGAGTTTGTGGTGGTTTCATTGTTACTAGATATTTCTGTTTCCCTTTTAAATTGAGTGAAGATAGTACATCATTTTATTGCATATGGAAGGCTACTACACAATTTAGGATCATTTATTTGCATGGATTTTTGGTTTGGGCGAGTCAAAATCTTGGAACATCAAATGGAATCGTTTTTCTTTTGTGGTTTGTGTTCTGTTGCAGCCCTCTAAGAAACATTAGGGGGGGGGGGCTTGATTGGTACTGCACTTTAAAGAGTTGTGAAGATATGGACCACACTCATAAATTTGTGTAGTACTGTACAGTACTTCCATATTTTAAATACATAAGTTGATAAGAACATTCTATGCTCATATATTAATTGTGGCTTAACGTAACAATAGTGGTTGTTTCCTACAGGTAAACTGGGAGGTGTTATTTGACAACCATCTGTGAATCTCTGAACAGTATGAAAAAAATTGCAATGGCTTTAATATCTGTAAGTGCGTCACATACATTATTTGTAGTTGTCCTATCACATTGATACCTATACTGTATTAGAGTTAAAGTACATTTACTTGATTTGTATACATGTTCACAGCACCCATTAGTACTGAATGATGTGGCACAGTAATTTGCCACCAAGAATGTGGCACTAGTGTAACCCCCAAATGGCAAACCTGTAGCCATAATCATAGCTGCACACAGTTTAACTAGTTTGTTATGGATGCCATATGCATCTTGTTTGCAGTAGCAGAATGGTTAGTTACCTACTGAGATTACGAACTGAACCCCAAAAATTCTTAAAAGCATGTGATTTACATTTGTTCAATTTAGATCAAATTTTTAATTTGCATAGCATGTTTTCCAATAACTATTCAGTAGGCAACAGTGGAAACATTAGTTACAATGTGTATGCAATTATTGAACTCATCCCACATTTACCCACTGTAAATAATATTTGGCTAGCATAACACTGTGATTTCCTTGTGTATGATATACCTGTACAATGACGTAGTCTAAGGGAAAATGATTTACAGCAATGTCGGGGATTGAACCTGGTAAACACCAGCTGTGCACCTAACTAACCCTAGCTAACGACATGCTAAAATCTTTTTAACTAGTGACCCTACTGAGTTCACTAAACAATTTGGAGACACCGACTCGGTGCCCAACCAGGTTTTACGAACAGCCCGCATTCTGATGTGGGTAATGGTGTTTTCTAGCATACGCTTTATTGAAATACACCAGAGTGCATGCAGGCTATTCGTAAAACCTGGTTGGGCACCGACTCGGTGTCTCCAAAATGTCTAGGGTCCCTGATGGTCGGAAAGCAGGGCTTAAAAGAGCAGACACTCGACCCTTCAAGCATGTCTGAGTACAGCATAACGTAATTATAGGGAAGATATCCCGTGTCCAGTGATATTTAATGATAAACTATTGATGTTCATAATGCAGACAATACACACAATGACAATCTTTCAATTTCAAACTGTTGATAGTATTTATGCCTGAGCCAACTCTTTTTAACATTAAGGACACTTACTGGGAGGAGGGAGTGAGCTTGTTCAGTAGACTTGACATGATAGAAAGTAGTTTCATCAGGTAATGATGGATATAGAGACATTGTTCCTTCCTGTGAAGTTTCGTACACTACTGGATTTTGTCTGGTAATTTGTGAAATATAATGAATGTAGTCATTTAATGCAGTAAATTATCTGCAATATTTAGAAGCCTTCTACAGCTGCATGTTCATTGCTGGAAACAAAAGTTATGTAAATACATTACAATAAAAACCGAGATCATTGTTGTTCAAAGCAATATTTACATAGTGTCAAGGAACCCCGCTATCACTTCAACACCAGGGGAAACCTCGCACTGAGACTGGCACTTCTATATAACTAAAACACACTGGTTTCTAAGTAATGCGTGTCGGTTTAGAATGAATAATACGCTAGTGAAATGTGAAGAGCCAGAGGGCAGCAACACGTCCTAGACTGACTGGGACCAGACCGGCCTCGCTGCCACACTTGTGCGTCACTCAGCGCTGGTGCCACTTGTGTACACCCGCATATTACTTCTCCTACCTCATAACAATCTACGATTCCCTGTAACTAAATAACCACTTCTGTGGTTAAGTGAATAAGGATTTTATTTGCAATCCCGAGGTCATCTCGGAAGCAATCAGGTCATGTAAATAAGTAATACGTAATAGAGCGCGTGTCAACCATGGACAGCCCACAATAGTGAAGATATTACACGTCAAGAACAGGTCTGTTGCCATGACCACGTCATGAGTCACAGACAGTATTACCAAAAGTCAAGCTTTAATTGGTATCGAGATGCTTTGGTAGACGTTACACGGTTTTCAGTGTTTTCATAGTATAGTTGGGTTTGTTCACGATGGATTCATAATCGGGAATCCCGGCCGGGACACACATGATTGCACACGTTTCCGTTTCATCTGATGCTTATGTTCACCTACCAGTAGGAACCCGGGAGTTTGCCAACCTTCCCCAGTAGTATTGATATGACAACTCTTGCTGCATGAAATAAGCCGTTTTTTTGTTTTTATCTGAAAAGTAAAAAATTATTTCAAACTCGGTCATCTTGCGAAATTGAAATTGCGAAGAGCGAGAGCCAAATCCTATAGTTCCTGAATTGTGTAATGTACGATCAAGTACATTCTGGCTGCTCGTAGATGTACTCGCATACCGATTAGATTATACCGTACCATCTCATACATTGTACCTTCCCATATTCTGTACTGTAATTCATCTCTCTCGCGTTATACACAAACGTTCCATACCAACTCGCCCCTCGGGGTAAAAATAAAATAAAACGCCTTATTGGCCAAGAGCTGGGGTAGGTTACATTTGTGGTTTGTTGACCAGACAACACAATAGAAAGAAGGGACGACGACGTCCCTTCAATTTCTAGTGTGGTCTGGTCAACATGCTTCAGCCACGTTCTTGTGACTCATCGCCTGCATTTGTGGTTTACTTGTGGTCTCTTAACAGCTTGTATGCATACCAGCATCCAGTCTTGCTATATAGTCTAGACATGGTTACATAGTCTTCCTGATTTAGTCTCTCTTCATAATTAATGTTAGACTTTTGGTCAACGACCGGGCCCTCAAGGTAAGGTACTGTGTCAGGAACATCACCCCCTCATCATCCAAGATAATGATAATCAAGACAGGCAGCGATCGAGGTGCTGCGTGTGGCATGGCCCACACAGTAAGGTTCAGGGAGCAGCAGCAGCAACACATAAGAGCAGTCTGCACGCACACTCAACACGTATAAAAACAAGTTTGAAAACGAATCGAAAAATCGACCAATTTACACGTTGAAAACACTCGATCGATAGCTGTAGCATATTTCGTGTTATCGTATTTAAAACGTTTCCTTATGCGGAACAATTTCAGATAATAAACGATGACATATCGGTAAGCAAGACTGACAGTGGAGAGGTAGGGAGCTACGAGTAAGTACATTGATCGTGAAAATGACACACTGATTCATACACTTTATTTCAGGTTAGCACTGACCCCATGGGACCAATATGGCTCGTGAACGCCATCATCCTATGGCACTACTAACTAACATTAGGTGAAGGTGAATCAGAACTACGTAATGATCCCGTAAAAATAAAAGAACGTGAAGATGAATGAAAACGAGGAATTCACAGTAGGAATAACAACAATTTATTTGTAAATAAGCACGCCATCACGTTCGTCGATGAATGGAACTATGTACGCAATGGATGAATGATGTTTTAGGATGCTTGTGACGTCACTGATGATCATGATGGGGCACAACATATATACCTACCAACGTCTTGAAGCAGGTGCCAGAAGAAACGGTCATGACCGCACCAACAGGAGCACATAAACCTCGCTGCCAGGCGTAACGGAGAGCGTGGGTGGTGGTGGTGCTCATGTATCAGTACTTACCTAACACTAAATATACGGGATTGAACTGAAAGCCTTGTGCGTTGCATTTTAATTTTTAAAATTAAAAAATTCAAATGTTTATTCAGGTAAAGTACATACATACAAGGTGTGATAAATTCATTGATGAATTTATAGATAGATTTTGTAGGGATATGTGCTAGCTCTAACAGACCTGTATGAGAGATGTGAGAAGTTTGTGCAAGTGTTTGAGATTGGTTGTGTCTAAGAAATTAAGATTCAAATGCACAACAATGTGCAATGTGCCCCTTTTTTGGCCGCTAGCGGCGAAAATCGGTCGGTTTTTTGGCAGGTAGCGGCGAAAATCGCGCTATTTTTGCCCGCCAGCTGCAAAAATCGCATAGTTTCTGCTTTCGCTATTTTTTAGCCCAAAATTGGGCTACTTTCGCTACTTTTTAGTCCAAAATTGGGCTACTTTCGCTACTTTTTGGCGCAAAATTTCGCTACTTTCGCTACTTTTTAGGCCAAAATTGGGCTACTTTTGCTACTTTTTAGCCCAAAATTGGCCTTGATTGTGAACGTGTCTTGATTTGTGAACTTGTTCGTGGAGAGAGACTGGATAGAATTTGAGAAACAATTGTCGGTGTTATCGCTGTGTTCACGCCGCCAAGTGCGATAAGATCATACCCATGTGAACACGTACCTGGTGGCGGACGTGCGTGCCAAGTTCAAGTATGTTTATTGAGACAAGAAAAAATACATCTCAAAAGGATAGAGTAGCTTAGGCTATTTCTACACCCCAGCGTGCGTGCCACGGGGCCCGTGTCTGGCACTGACTGTCTCATGATAATGGGTGCAAGCTGCTAAATGTCCCGCATACTACTCTATTATGTTATAAGCCTACATATTGCCAGCATTCACATCTAGTTTTTGTTGTTCTGACAGACTGCGAAGAAGGTGGAAGCGTGTGCCGGGGTGGTGGTGACATAGTTCGCTTGGATCGCTCCCTACGTTATGATATTTACCGAGAAAAAGTGAGCAAGGATCCTCTTTCAAGACCACTCAAGAGTGTACTGCATCACTTAAAATATTGTATCAGCAGATTCTGTGAAGTCACACTTGAGGTGTATACAAATTTGTACATTTTATTCTAATATACACCTTCCGCAAACACTTGTGAAATGTAGATAGCCTGTATTAGTAATCTTGCTATGGATATAAATGTAAAAATCAAACTTGTGTTGTCCCTTATCGTTTAGTGCATCTAATCATCTTTTCATATTTGCAATTCGCGTGTGGTAATGTTGCCGAGCTCTATGGCCACGCACATCAAGGACAGCACACGCCAAACTTCATTAACAAAACCCTTCCGCATGTTGCAAAGCTGTTTTTATTCCCATAGCCTTCCTTTGGATCTCACGGGCGTTGATCGTGGCGCTAACGTTATGCGTGTTACCCATCTCTCTTACCTTTGAGTTTAATGCTCTAAGCCCCTTAACTTGCTTACGGTCTTGGAATACACGTACTTTTAGATTAATCCCAGAAACCAACCCAGTGCCACAGACCGAGAGCCTGCGACCACATATCCTTCGTTTACGCAACAAACATTTGAGCCTATTCCAATGCAACATGACTTTGCAATGTGCAAGACCCGACAGTGGGGATGCTCGTAATCATTTTCCCTTCGGGAAGAGCGCTACCTATATGTTACACTGACACTTGAGGACGCTCGTGCAGTGACCAGAGAAAAACTCTGTTGGTCAATGTTTTCTTTAATGTACTCCACATGCAAGGTCGGGCATTTTTTTAAACATCTCACATCCATGTGATGTTTATCATAAGTACGTAATGATTATCCAACATTAAGACTTGAGAATGGTCCAGGACGGACCAAAACGGCGTCGTCCCTTCACTTTCTAGTGGGTGGTCTGGTCAACATTTCAAGATCTTCGAAGTACAATTTCATTTATGCACTTAAAAATTGAAAGTTTAAACACGGGGAAAAGATTAATCATAATCCAAGCTATGGAGACCACGTTCTTTTTTCAAACTTTTGGAATTAAAGCGGGCGACAAAAATATGCCGACTCTCAGCCCTGTGGCCCTCAACCATTCCCGGTATAACACTGCAAACCCGATAAATTTTTATGGTAATCTTTATTCCTTCAGATTTAGCATTAGTTTATGCTGAACAATAAAATTATTTCGCTGCTGAAACGAGCAATTGTCAAAAGAAGAAAACCCGGGAAGATATTAAGTACCTTTGGATTATCTAGCGACACTGGTGCTATACTCTTATGTATTTGTAATGTCTATACATAAGACTTTCAACAAGGACGATCTGCTTTTTAGGACAATCGTGACTAAATTGGACAATGCAATTAGGCCAAGAAAGCAGGAAGGTGGTGCTCCTCAGTTAGGTTAAACGTGTATGGCCAATACGTAACCTAACCCGTTTTCACCAGCCACCAAAGAGTGCTAGAAAGGGGCAGACTGTCACGATTGTCTCGTGGATTGTCCAGTGGATTAAGGTTTTAATTATGCCGAGGGGAATTCAAAGTGTAGGGAAACCCCCCAGTCGCCACGGTGTATGCCATTATATTTATTGTGTCAAGACCTTTTCACCCCCACTACTCGGCATAAAAAAAACCCTTAGACAGCGAGAGCTTTCGTTTTAGCCCATGTAAACAGTAGGGAAAACAGCAGACTAATATTATGACATTTATAAATATAAAACGCATCTAGAGCTCAAAAGGAAATGGGCTGGTGCGTCAATGCGTCACTCACTCGAGTCCTCCCAATTGCAGATTTTTCAACAAAACTGTTTATAATTAATCAATTCCTCTGTATTAATAATTTGAGAAAGACAAACTTCCACAGGAGGTAAAGTTCGTAACACAGATCATAAAGACGAGGCGAAAGAAATGCTTGCACACAAGCGAGCAGGATGGCTATAATTTACTTGATAGGTGCACGCTCTTCTAATTGTGCTTTTTAAACACCCCAGGCGGAATGAGACAAGATCTAGTTTATTTATTTATTTATATACAAGGTACATTGGGTTAGAGAGAATACATAGTGGCTTTACAAGAATGTAAATACTATGCTACTACGCGCAGCGTTTCGGGCAGGTCCTTAAAATTGTTAGATTAAGTAGGTAAATTCTAGCAGAATTAATAAAATAACATTGCAAGAAAAAAATGAGATGAGAGAATAGTAAGTATATTAAAAGCACATTGGTATATTAAAGCTCTGGTTGATTAAATTACCAATCAAGTTGTCAATGTAAACAAGATTAATACACCGTACAGCAGATTGATAGCACATAAGACAGTAATGATCACATTGCTAAATATGTTCGGATTGGGTACATAAAGATGGGTAGCAATAGATACAGTACAATCTCCCTAATTTTAAAGCAACAAGGTAAAAAAAACTATGCAGATGAGATTGGGTACTTTTTAGTTTTGTTTTTGAATGACGCAAAAGTTGGACAGCTTTTCAATTCATTAGGGAGCGAGTTCCATAGACTGGATCCCTTTATTTGCATAGTGTTTACACATAAATATCTTTGATATCCCCAGAGTCAAACTTAATTTCTGGTGTGGTGATAATGGGTCCTATTACATCTGTCCAGGGAGAGTTTCAGAGAAGGATTAATGCTCTAAGGCTTTTACATCAGTGGCAGATCGCCCACACACATACACGGGACCAAGATAGACAACATTAGCAAAATTTTTATACAGAAGGAGACTACCATAGAGCAACATAAAAAGGTACGAACAAAGACCTGCTTCTAAGTCTCTCCAAGACTTGTGCTATATATACTCTACGCGCAACAGCAATTATGGTTGTAATGACGCCACTGAAGCTGTCGTTGGAGGACAGGGAACAAACAAGGGGGGTGAGAATGCTAGAGGGAAGGAAATTACACCATTGAGGGCAACTAGGAAGAGAGCAGTTTTCAGAACACTACCTTGGGATCATTATATTGTCTAAATGTCACGAAGTTGTACGAGGTCTCATTAACTGAACGAACAGAGGAAACTTTGAAGAGGTAGATTGCGACTTGGCCGAAACAATGAAGATTCTTTCTTTACCTAGAAAAGGATACAGAAAACGGGCACCTGAAGTCTTTGACCTACATTCTTACTGCGTTTGATGCACATTACAATAAATAACTTTGCTGTGGCACGACGGATGTTTTAAAGGGAGACTTGTCACTCTTCAAATAACAAAATTGAGGAGCGAGAAAGGTGGCTAGTATGTTTTAAGAAAATCATGCATACCACACTAATTAGGAATAATGCCTTTCAAAACGCAGGTGAAGAAAATGCAAGTTTGGTTTTGTACCTGTTCAACGTAATGGAATAACAATGGCAGTTCTGGTTAAGATTTCTTGAAACAAGCACTACGGTGCAGTGATCTGAACCGATTCAAAAGAAGCACTACAAAGCCGTTTGTACTCTTACATGAATGACTATGTAAGAAAAAAGTTAAGATATCAATTATTTTGATAGTGCGCGTTATTGGCCAATTAAGAGTTGGAACTCTTAATATCAACTCTTAACTGTAATTGAGTGCTGAATACTTTAGCGACATTAAGATAGTGAAGTTACCTTATAAGTGAAGCGAGCATCACTTACAAACATCGGGGGAAAAAAAAAAAAACGATAGTTGCTAAAATCTAGGGATCTGTGAGGGTACCAACCAATGATTCACTTTACAGGTAAGCAAGTCCCAGTTGTGTCTGGGTACAAGTGTGAGGAGGAAGATCAGTGGAGGGCAACATCGAATATGGCGTGAGGAAGTTTAAGAGTTCGCACAAGTCGGAATATTGAGAACAAAGGTTCACGACACCTGAGTCCATACGAGCAGCTCTTTAGCCACCATTTAACTACTTAATAGTTGGAAAATATAGGGTAACAATATATCTCTTCCCGATTATAAATCTATATAAATGTTTGCGGCGTTCTGTGTTGCTGTGGATGCTCTTCGTTATAGGGTTCATACAACCGTTGCTTGGTTACCGACACTTATAATGGTACACGACTAGCAGTGTCCAAGCGTGGTGGGTCCTGCCGCACGCTATCAGGTGTTTACATACTGCTAATTAACCACTTTGTGGCCAGAATGCGACGGTCTCGCTTCATCCCGGTCATCTTTCAATCCCCGACCGTCCAAGTAATGGAGCACCATTCCTTTCCCCCATCCCAAATCCTTATCCTGACCCTTTCCAAGGGATATATAGTCTAATGGCTTGGCACTATCCTCTGTCAGTTCCCTTACATACTGTTGGCGCAGCGCATACAAATCTATTATGTTGATAGGAAACTGCGCTATGTTGAACATGAGTACTCTATTTTGCTGAATATATTTTGTAATATTAAGGGGAATATGTAATGCTTATAAATCCAACGTAGGATTTCCAGAGATGCAAGCAAAATGCCTCCGAGGATTATTATAATATAGCAGTTGCAGGTTTCTGTTAAAAAAGACAACGTACTAATATTTATTTTTATTTGTAAAAAAATATAGAATGTAATATATTACTATTAACAACCAGAAGTTATTTAATTGCCTTATGATAGTAATTATTGCAAATGCAAATTGGGAAACTTAATTTTGCAAATGGATGCAAGGAATGACCAATGCAACAGATGCAAATTGCGGCCATATAAAAAGTGTGATATGAATTTGAAACCAATGGTAGTGGTTCTGGCAAAGCTTCCCTAATCGCCACGCCGCCTGACAGGGAAGCCAGAGGGGGGGGGGGGGGGGGGGGGGGGGGGGGGGGGGGGGGGGGGACCTACGCCCAGGGTCGCCAGGATGGGTTTCCTTCCTGACTCAGTATTTTTTGTCCTCTGAGGTGGTCGTCCCGCCACATGGGCCAAGCCATACAGCTTTTGCGCGGCGGGTACGGCATCCAGAGTGCTCTTGTCTGCGCCGTTTCCAGCCCTCTACTTTCGCCTCTGCGTTTCACACCGCGTCATGGAGAGCAGTACTGTAAGAATGAGAACAGTGTCAGGTTGTAGGGAACGTGCCCAGAAAGTAGCGACAGTTATAATTCTACGGAAATAACATGCTAGGGGAAAGGAAATTAACGTGACTGGAGAGAATGATAATACAAACACGTAATAAGTAAACCGAGGAAGCAGAGCGATTAATAACCACAAGAAGCAACCATCTAACCCGTGAAGAAATAAAAGAAAATTTAGAGTTAAGAACCAAAGCACCAACAGTCTAAGGTGAACTTTTCTAATAAATTACTACAAGATTTGTCAATTTACAAGACACCGTGTGGCCCTTCTCTAGTAATATAAAACAAATTAATGAATGGTTATAATAATAATGAAAAAAATGTAGGAAATATAATAATGAAAATGTAGTGAATGAAAAATTCTGTAGGCACTGAATTTTATACCATTATGATTCTTTGCATAATACTGTAGATGAATACTCTGCTTCATATGGCGGTAACGGCCCGCGGAGGAGCAAACGAGGTGGTAGCAACTGACCAGTTTGACACCAACTAGTCGGAATCATCCAGTGTGAGGTCCGCACCCAGTTCAGCTCCGGCGAGTGTTGACTTGCAAGTGGTCGTCCCGTTGCACGCTGCCCTGCAACACAGAGGACAATGAGTTAAGGCAAAGAGGGAGGCGGCGGGAAGCAATACTTTTAAAAAGAATAAATGGTACTAAAAGTACATAATCACACAGAATTAAGGAAGTGTGTATGTGTGGGGGGGGGGGGAAGGGGAGTACTGTAGTCAATACCAATTTAACAATATTGAACAAATACCGTTATTAACTAGAGTAATTTGTGACCAACGAATAGAAATAACAGGAAATAAAACATTTTTCCAACGAGTGCGGTAAAAATTACTTATTGCAACGAATATCCCCTCCCTCTCCCATTAACAAATTTACCCAAACGCCCAAACGAAAATATTCCCCAAAACGCCCAAACAAAAATATTCCCCAAAACGAAAATATTCCCCCAAACGCCCAACGAAATATTCCCCAAAACGCCCAAACGAAAATATTCCCCAAGCGCCAAACTAAAATATTCCTCAATTGGGAGAATTATTCCATAATCACCCGGGTAGCCTCTTGGCAGAGACACAGAACACTGATGCTGGCCGCCTACATTGCCGCTCAGGATCTCCCGCAGCCACAAGGCAGCTTCTTGCGCCGCCTATTCCGTGTTTCGACTCCGCCGTTGTGCCGCAGTGCTGAAAGAATGAGCGCGGTGAGTGTGGCAAGTAAGGAAGCGGGATGGGGGAGGACAGCAGCTGCTATATGGGTCCGGGAAAATAAGTAATTACCAGCTAGTATCGAGCAAAGAGTAAAGGAACGCGAACAGTAAAGATTTTTATTTACTATAAAATTTAACGTCAAGTAATACCGAGACAATGTGGCTTAGTTAAAATTACATATAATACTGTCCAAGATCAATAAACGGGGAACTAGAACAGGCAGATAACTAGTTTAAGTAGGGACAAAACTAACTTTTATAAAAGAGGTGGGTAAAACGATTGCTGAATATTAAGCAACTCAAGACATGGCGCGGGCATGAACAGTACGCAAGGTAAAAGGAAACATGACCAGGTGAAAAGGGGAAAACCTAAACTTAAGATAAGGCAGAGAGACGGTGGCAACCTCAAACTATGCTAGAACCCAGGTAAAGGAACCAAGCCCGACTAATATATAGTCTTATAGAAGGAACATTAACATTAAAATAAGTGGAAAATTAAGTGTCCAAAGATGATTAGAAACTTGTAATCACCTAAGAGCAGACTCCTGGAGTAATGTCCAGTCTCGAGCTATGGAAGGCGTATCCAGGCTGAGGCTGGAGGAGTCCGGGTTGTACACCACTGTAAGCTCTTGCGGCGAGGGACGGCCCCAGGCTGTAGTGCTGCATCCTAGACGGCTGTGTTGGCGCCTCGTACGGTCTCACTAGGGCTGAAAATAATTAGCGAGTATTAGGCATGATAATTATACAATAATGCATTGTCCTGGCTGGGGAGTTATACCCCCCTCCCCCTCCACAGCCCAATGGTAACTGGTTGTGTTCATCTGAAACTGACAGGGATGACGGGAGTGTGAAAGAACGGTTCTCTGGAGGGACTTCAGCGAGTGGGGGCTCCAGGGGTTATCCCGGGCCGACTAGAGGAAACTGGACAGCGGACGAGGCACTGGAGTATGGAGAAGCGAGGTAAAGATATTCAATCCACCTCCCAACCCCCCTGAACCAGGAGGGATGGGGGTGACAGATGCGAGAGGGGGGAACTGGACTGGACAGAATAGGGCCGAGTGAACGTTATCAAAGAATAAAGGAGCCTGGAAGGAAGGAGCTTCCAAGGAGACTAATAATTCTCTACAAGAGAATTAAGAAGGATAGTCAAAAAGGTGCAAGCGGAGATGGGGCAAGAAGGGGCAGGAAGAGGGGAGGAGGCGGGAAGCAAATCTACCGAACTGATGAAGGAACATGCAATGAGGAAGAGACGGCGAGGTAGGGGACAAGAAATGAACCCAGATTAGCAACTCCAAGAGAACAGAAATCAAGCACAAGTGGGGTCCCAATAAAGGACTATGATAAAAAAGGAAAAAAGTACAAGAAAAGTGGCACAATAGGCATGCGGACTTTAAAGGGATCAGGATTGGGCATGGGAGGGGAGGCATGGCAACCGTCCCACTTGGACGGTCAAGGATTAAACGCCGACGTCCATGAAGCGAGACCGTCGCTCTAACGTCCATCAAGTGGGAGACGTCGCGAAGAGGAAGGGGACAAGGAAGAACTTTACGGGCAAAAGGTTACGAAAAACTAAAGTGGGGAGTGAAAGCGGGAAGGGAAGTCAGTCTGAAAATAAAAAAATCCCTCTCCCCAAACGCACAAAACAATTGCATCCCTCCCCTCCAAACGCATGACAACAACCCCCCCCCCCAGGCACGACGACAAAAAAGGCTACGACAATAAAATTCCCCCCCCCCCCCCCAAGGCACACTAACCCTACCCAAAGGCACTACGACAAAACTTAATCCCCCCTCCAAAAGTACGTAGACAACAAAAAATTCCCCCTCCGAAGGCACGACAACAAAAACACAATTCCCCAAAAAGGCACGACAAATTCCCCCCATACGCACGACGACCAACCTTCTCCCCTCCAAAAAGAACAAAATTCCCAAAGGCACGATGACAAAAAATCCCATCCAAAAACACAACAAAATCCCCCCAAATGCACAACAAAAACAATTCCCCCTCCCTAGGCACAACAAAAACCCAATTTTCCCAAGACACGATGACAAAAAATCTTCAAGGCACGACGACGACAAAACAATTCCCCCCAAAGGCACGACGACAACAAAACAATTCCCCCCAAAGGCACGACGACAACAAAACAAAATTCCCCCCAAAGGCACGACGACAAAACAATTCCCCCCCAAAGGCACGACGACAACAAAAAATTCCCCCCAAAGGCACAACGACAACAAAACAAAATTCCCCCCCAAAGGCACGACGACAAAAAATTCCCCCCCCCAAAGGCACGACGACAAAAAATTCCCCCCCCCCCCCCAAAGGCACGACAACAAAACAATTCCCCCCAAATGCACAAGAATTTCCACCCAAAGGCACGACGACAAAACATTCCCCCCCAAAGGTACGACGACAAAAATCTTCCCCCTAAAGCACGATGACAAACATATTACCCCAAAAGGCACGACAACAAAAATCCCCTCCCCCCAAAAGGCATGACAACCAAAAACAATTCCCCCCCAAAAGGCACAATGATAAAAATATCCCCTAAAACCACGACGAAAAAAAATTCCACCCCCAAAGGCATAACCAAAACAATTCCCCCCCCCCAAAAAAAAAAGGCACGACGACGACAAAAACACCAAAAGGCACGGTCAACAAAAATGTATCCCCCCCCCAAAGACACGACAAAACAAAACTCCCAAAATGCACAACAAAAACAATCCCCCCCAATGGCACGACGATAACAAAACAATCCCCCCAAAGGCACGACGATAACAAAATCCCCCCAAAGGCACGACGATAACAAAAACAATCCCCCCCCCCAAAGGCAAGACAACAAAAAATTCCCATCCACATGCCCGACAAAAACCAATTCCCCTCCAAAGGTACGACGACAACAAAAACCAATTCCCTCTAAAGGCACGACAAAAACAATTTCCACCCAAAGACACGACGAAAAATGTCCCCCCCCCCCTCAAGGGACAACCGAAAACCAGTTCCCCTCCAAAAGGCACGACAACAAAACATCCCCCCCCCCCACACAAAAAAGGCACGTCAACAAAATTCCTCCCCGCTCCCAAAGCACAAAAACAAAATACCCCCCCCCCCCACAAAGGCATGAAGACAACGAAATTATCTCCCCCCCCCCCTCTCCCCCACACCCCAAGGGCATGACAACAAAATTAACCACAAAAGCACAACAATTTCCATGCTGTACAATCAACTTAATATTTTCACTGAACCTGGTACACTTAAAACTTTATCACTACTTTGCTTGTCCATTTATTTTTTTTCCCCATTTTAATCCATCTATTCCTGTCTGGTGTTTCAGCGACTATAAAGTTACATTTACAATTTCGTAAATACTCAACACCTGAAGTAGATTGTAACCTATTAAAATAGTTTAACACCTTTGGTTTTGTGTACGAATTTTCCGTGTGGAAGTGTGTTAAGCAGCATCCTCACTGCTATAAACAATTATTCCAGGCTACAATTTTTTTTTTTTAAGATCGACTACAAGACTGTTTTACCAACAATTGTATCACCACTGAAATTTCATGCCATTTGGTTTATTGCCTAAAAACCTAAGTTTGATTAAGAAAGTTCTGGGACTAAATAGATTTAAAAAATTGGTATAAAATGTAAGTAATTAACAAAAGAAGGCATCAAGCCTGGAAGGCTATGTAGCACCATCAAATGTGCAGCATAATCATAGGGCGCCAAGTCTCACTAAGATGCCAATGCGAGAAAAAACACCAAGGCGAACGTTATCAAAGGTATCCGATTCTCCAAAAATTCTATCGAGGGACAAGTGACCACGAGGAACAGTCGGGAAGCAAGACGCACGTACATCCTGGATATCAGGACAATAAGGATATGCATGACTCTAAGAGGGACAATTCAGTTTGAAAAATAAAGAGCAGGGCGGCGCTCCATTAAGTAAGTGCTCGCGAGTTCACCGTATGGCCAATACGTAACTTCGCCAGAGCAGTTTTCCACCACTGTTTACGGTGGTGGGAGGAAGGCCACGGAGACACTAAAGAGAATGAAGGAATGAATAACTGGGAGAAAGTCTGATTAAAGAATACCTGTGCGGGAGATGGGACAGGTGCAGATAGCTTCCTTAGCGGCAGCCTCCGCACGCTCATTTAAGGGCAAATGTGACTGGGAACCCAGCAAAACTCCACTGTCAAATCTACTGGAGATAAACAGCCAATGTTGAATTTCGACTACCACAGGATGGACTGGATTAAAGAACTAGAGCCATGAAGGTACTGCAAGAGTCAACTACAACAACAAAGAAGCATTGACCGTGAGAAAGCAGTTGAAGAGCATGGCATAAAGTTTTGCCGTGAAAATGCTAGTCTCTGGAGGCAGGCGACAGGTGTGGTCAGGATAAACAGTAGCCTACACCGTCTGTAGACTTAGGCTGTTAAAACGAAAATGGAGCAGGAGTGTGAAGACAAATGTTAAAGCAAAAGGAGTTTCAGAATTGAAGGAGGGGTAAAACCTTCAGTCACACTTGTCAAGGTTTAACAAAATTTATGAAGGGGGACCCTCCATGGAGGCAAAGACGAACGATATGAGGGGAAATATTGGTAACACGAACCGAAAGCGCATTTTCTAAGTGAAAAACGTACGGGAAGAGATAGGTGGTGAAGGGAAACAGGAACCACAGGAGGGGTAAACGTCAAGGTACGAAGAGTGAGTAAGGACTGTGCAAGGTAGCTAAGACAGTAGCGATCCTGTCTAGACAGGACACCAGGTTCAACACGCAGGCTTAGGGTAAGAGTCGAACGAAAGGCACCAGATCTGAAGCGTAACCCAGTATGGTGCATAGCGTCAAGATGGCAAAGGATAGGAGAAGGAGAAGCAGGGCAACTATAATAGTTTCGACAGAACGAGAGGGGAATGTAAAGAAAGGAGCATGTGCCTATCGGCTCCAAGAAATATGGGAGAACACCTTAAGGGTCTTAGAGCATTCAACTCGGAGGTAAGAGATATGGGGCGGCCACGACAAACTAGTGTCAAAGATTAGCCCCAATAGCTTAGCAGACCTTGTACAAAAGAGGACGACCATAAAGCAAAAGAGGGTGATGAAGAACAACCTGCTTCTAAGTCACAGCACACGTTTTAAGTGTAGAAAACTTTAAGCTATGATTGGTGGCCCAAAAAGACTCAAGTTGAAGCCTCCGTTGTAGGAAAGGCGAATCATCACCTCGATAGCAGAGGGCAAGATCGACACAGGGCAGAGAAGATCCCAGAAGGGAGGGAGGAAAAGACCATTGAGGGCAACCAGGGAAAAAGAGTAGCGCTTAGACCACCACCTTGGGGTACACCTTCGTATTGCCGAAAAGGGGCAGTGTGGTACCAAGCTTCACTTTAAAGGAATGACTAGAGAGGAAGCTCTGGAAGAAGAAAGGGAGATTACCACCAAAGCCAAAAGAACTAAGTTGACTAGGACAGACAGATCGTTATACAGAAGTTTCAGACGAGTGCAGAAATCTAAGGGATGAGATTCAAGAACGGTCTTATGAAGAACTAAGGAAGATTAGAACCCAAGTCAAAAATCCAGTTCAGTTGCGACCGTCACTGAATCAGCCACAAGAGTAACACGAAGGTAAAGGACTGGCGAGACATCTGGAACAAACTTACCCGCTATATTGCGGATTTTCTTCCAGATCTGCAGCAGAGGAGTGTCTGATGTAATGGTGGAGACAAGATTTCCAACTCTCACGTTTAGCCATACGGATGGTCCTACGGGCCATCACCTTCCGAAACAATAAAAGCATCAGCCGTTTGCCGGCGTCGGTGTTTCTAAACAGGCTGCACGCTTACAACGGTCAGCCCGAGCATAGTTTGCATTCCACCAGGGAACACTTCCACATTCCCGAGGAGGTAAAGCGAGGAATAGAGTGGAGGGCAGCGTCGAATACAGTGGCACGAAAAGGGAGGGCTCGAGGGAGAGGCAGAGCAGAGGTCGGAAAGCGTAGCATGTAGGGTGAATACTGTATATTCCAGTCAGCCTTGGCAAACTGCCACCTAGGGAAGGGGAGGAGAGCGAAAAGAGAAAGGTGACAAGGATGGGGAAATGGTCACCGTTATGGAGGTCGTCAAGAACCCACCATGTGAAGGCAACCCCGGGCGTTCGTCAGAGCATCGCCCCAGAGGATATGCCGACAGTTGAAATCACCCAACAGGAGTACAGGCTCTGGTAAGGAGGCCAACAGGTGTTTAAGATCAGGAGAAAGTGGAACATTTGGGGGAATAATTGAACAGACTGTATACCATTTACTCGCAAAGATACAGGCCGTAGAATATTGGATAAGCGGTGGAAACAGTATGGGGGACGAAAGGAATATCGGTAAGAATCAAGAAAGCAGTAGAGTTGTCCGCCCCAGCAAAAGCTGAAGGGGGTGGGGGTTAAAAAGAATAATAACCACTAATGTGATCAGGACGAGCCCCAAGCATCGGCTCCTGGAGATTTACACAAACCAGTGAAAACTTATCAGAAGTTGAAGTTCATGTTAGTTGGCATAAAATCCACGATTATCCCATTGAAGAATAGACATTGTCAAAAGGAGAGAAAACAACAACAGAGAACACTGAAGAGAAAGGCAAAGAAGAACAGTTTACTAAAGATCAGGATCAGTTAAATCAGGGTTAGGGGGCCATGGGTAAATTTAGCAATGACGATGGAGTTAGAGGAGTGGGAGGACGAACCAGAGGCGGACGGACAGGGTCTAAAGCTAGTGGTGGTAATGGAGAGAGGTGGCCAAGGAAATTAGGAGGAAAAGGGGGGGGGAGGGCAGAAGCAGGGGAGCACACCTCGGCAAGGACAGCAACCAGGAGAATCAAGGGCTAAAGGAACCTAAATAGCCGGACAGGGGGAGCCTCAACCACTGAAATGGGAGGGGATGCAGTGACAGAATCCAAGTCAGAGGGGTGGGGAAGAAAGCGACGCCTTCTTACCTGCCGGGGAGGAAGAAGGAGAGGAGCCACGCTTACGTTTCTGACTTAATGGGACAGGTGTGCCAGCAGCGACATACTGGGCGACAGTCTCCATAGTCTCAACAGAAGGAGAACGAGAGCGATCAACATTAAGATTGCTGGGAGGATGATGGACAACAGCGTGGGGCAGACAGGCGGCGTGGAGGGCTAGGAAGAAGGATTGGGGAGAAGACGGGAAAGAAGACACAGGAGACACGGCAGACTGGGAAGGAAGGATGGAAGAACCAGAACCCCCCCCCCCTCTTGGTTCAGAACGTAATGGAGCAGTTGGGGGGGGGGGGGGCCGGGTTAGTGGTCGTGTCCGGATCCAAGACCTGGAAACGGTTGAGACTGAGAAAGTAGGGAAGGGCGAGGAGAGGTGGAACGCAACACACGAGTAAGATGTGCTAGCAAAAGGAGAGAGACGGCAGACTTTGCATCTCGCCTGAGAAAAAAAAAACTATCACAGTGCTTTAAATTAAGGATGGCTTCCTCTTATTTGTAGTGTATACACACGTAGGCGTCACCGCAACTGAGGAAGCGAGCCTGGGAAGAAGAGCACTGTCTTAAAGCGACCCGCATCCTCACACGAGGCATAGGGACACTACACTTGTGCCTTTAACGGCACCATGCTCAAATTGCCAGCACTTATTGCAAAGTCTAGGAGTGGGAATGTACTCCTGAACGGAGCATCTGGCATCAGCAAGAATTATAGAAGGCAGAAGGGTCCTATCAAAAATGATCATGTGAAGAGGCTGATAACAAGGGGGTCGAGTGAACTTAACCTGGAGGACAGAATGGCCTTGGACTTCAAGGATGTGTTCAATATCCTCGTGGCAGTCTTTCAGGGCCCTAACACCAGTTGCAACATTGTGCAGGAGTATAACTGTGCCACTACTGGTATTTAACTGGGCATTTTTGGAGACCCTAACAGGGGTCTCCCCAATGGTGGACAATGCAGCTAAGTGGGCAACTGCATCCCGAGGACGAGCAGCAACGGCACTTGCTAAAATGGGTGGGGTTAAAATTAACAGAGGCATCCACCGAATCAAGTGTTTATAGAGAAAAAATCGTCAGGACGTTTAGAATCCTGATAGTTGAGATTCAGTGTTTAGTCCATGTAGCAGGGTCAAACAAGGCGTGGAACTTATTTGCACTGGAAGAAATCTTGTTAGTACATCTGTGGAGGGAGAGGGGGATTGGCACAGAGCACCCCCAGGGAGAGGAAAAAAGCAGCAGTTGTCACAATGAGAGGTTGCCACTCCAGCTGATTAGGTGGTCATCACTATGGGTTTGGGGCTCAACCCTACCACAGATGAGGGAGGAGAGTGGTAGTGGGGGGGGGGGGGTAGTTGGGAGGGTTAAAGGAGTAGCTTGGCCCAATGTAGTGGGGATACAGAGCCCGGTCTTCCAACAGTCCGATTCGGGGGCCTGGTCGCTCACCCCACGAGCTTGTGAAGTGATAAGAGGATTGTTCAGTGGCATAGAAACAAGTAGCCTGCTTGATGGGGTTCTGGGAGTTCTTCTACTTCCCAAGCCCAGCCCGAGGCCAGGCTTGACTTGTGAGAGTTTGATCCACCAGGCTGTTGCTTGGAGCAGCGGGCAAGCCCACATACCCACCACAGCCCGGTTGGTCTGGCACTCCTTGGAGGAAAGAATCTAGTTTCCTCTAAGATGTCCACGGTTGTTCCGGCGATATTTCTGATGCTCGCTTGTAGGACGTTGAACAACCGCGGACCTATGATGATTATACAATGTTCTCTGTGCCTATGGCACCTCTGCTCTTCACTGGTTCTATTCTGCATTTTCTTCCATATTGTTCACTCCAGTACGTTGTTATTTTACTGTGCAGATTTGGAACCTGTCCCAGTATTTTCCATGTGTATATTATTTGGTATCTCTCTCCTCCTTTCTAGTGAGTACATTTGGAGAACAGGCGATCCCAATAATTTAGGTGCTTTATCTTGTCTATGCGTGCAGTATATGTTCTCCGTATTCCCTCTATTTCAGCAATCTCTCCTGCTCTGAAGGGGAAAACGAGTAACTGAGCAGTACTCAAGACAGGACAACAAGTGATTTGAAGAGTACAACCATTGTGATGGGATCTCTGAACTTTAAGGTTCTCTTAATCCATCCTATCATTTTTCTGGATGACGCAATATTTGCTTGGTTATGCTCCCTAAACGTTAGGTCGTCGGACATCATTAAAAAAATCCTTGACTTGCCGTTTTCCTACTATGGGAAGATCCGATTGTGTTTTGTACCCTGTATTATGTTTTAGATCCTCATTCTTGCCGTATCTGAGTGCCTGAAATTTATCGTTGTTAAACATTTTATTATCGGCTGCCCAATCGAAAACTTTGTTAATGTCTGTTTGCAGTTTTACAATGTCTTCAGCAGAGGTAATTTTCATGCTGATTTTTGTATCATCTGCAAAGGATGACACAAAGCTGCGACTTATTTTTCTCTATATCTGATATGAGAATAAGGAACGGTAGTAGTGCAAGGACTGTACCTTGAGGTACAGAGCTTTTAACTGCGCTCTGACTATTTTACTTTACTCTGTTCTGTTCGACAGGAAATTGAGTATCCAGCGTCCTACTTAACCAGTTATACCCATTGACCTCATTTTGTTTGCAATCACTCCATGGTCACATTTGTCGAATGCCTTTGCAAAGTCTGTATGCAACATCTGCATTGCTTTTCTTCTAACGCCTCAGTGATTTTGTCAATGGTCAAGTAGCTGTGAGAGGCATGATCTTCCTGCTCTAAATCCATGTTGGCCTGGATTGTGGAGGTCATTGGTGAAGTAGGTAATCATTTCATTCACGAATAAGCCCCCATACCCACCATGGAGCCATATTAGGGGACAGGACACCCCAGGGGTGCATCGCGAGTACACGCCCTGCAAGCGCCACCTTAAGAACCGTCAATCCGTAGAGATTAGGTTCAGCAACGAAGGCAAGGATTGACAATAAAAGCGTCCTCACTGGCAACGTCGGGTACCACAGTTCTACAGGCAAGTGTGCCCCTCAAACACCAGGGCATGAAAACAGAAGATGCCCGAAAGAATAATCAAGAATGGCAAAAGGTCGGCAGGAAAGAATGAGGAAGGGGAACGGCGGGAGGGAAAAGAATGAAATATTAGTTAGAGAAAACAGCAACCAGTACAGGGTAAGGAACAAAGACGGCAGCAGGAGCATAAGGCTTCAAAAGAACAGAGGACCGTCTCATGGAGCATCACACCCCTGCAGCCGCCCACCAAGCCTCCTCACAACAAGGGGCTGGAAAGGGAGGGGGTGTATAAAATGTAAAAAAACTAAACCCTCTACCCATAACTGATAAACCACAGCAGTACACGTCATGTTCATAGCAAACTGCACCATCCGTTTGTATGCCCTGCGTTTCATACGCCAGGGACTAGGTAAACAGAGGGTGCAGGATGCCCGCCACGCTTGCAGCTGCTAGTCAAGTATCATTATAAGTATTTAAGTCAGTAACCAAGCAATGGCTCTATATCAACCCTACAACCAAGACTTCCACTGCAACACGCAATACATACTTGCCAATTGACAAACTTCCTCAGCTGAACTGCGGCGCAGCAACACTTGCTTTCAGTAGAGCTGCTCGTCGTCCTCCAACACGACCGGGACGACGACGGCCAAACACTGCTGAGGTCACCTCGCCTTCAGGTACAGTGGACGCTCTGGTGACATTTAAGTGGGGATATAAATGAGAAACCTCATTAATTTTCAATACCTCATTTACTGGAACTATGTTTTATATTATTATTTACTATTTACAATAAACATATGTTAAATGTGTAAATGAGATATTAAAGGTTTAAGTAAGAGGAGGCTTTGATCTATCGTAGTGCTGGTAATCACAGCCGCCGCCGATAACTACCAAACCACCCACCAACACAATTACCAGATGTATGTATCCATACGGGCCCCACACCTTTACAGTTACGTTAGTAATTTCGTAAATCTCAACACCTGACTAATAAAAATAAATTTAGTTCTTCATTCTAGTTTTGAATATTTGATCACCCCCCCCCCCACCCTCGGCCACAGCGAAATTCTCAACTGATGCTCAATCCTCTATGTATACGGCCTTTGTGTTGTCTACAAGCAGTGAAGGTTAAAAAGCACATTAACACAGATTTAACAACTATTTCAATAGATAAATGGGACCCCCCCCCCACTTGCTTTGATTAGAGAACTAACTGCGTAGGAAGGTGGGGGAATTATAAGACATCTTCCCTATTATATTTTGGCATTCACAAGTATGAACTGCAATATTAGGACACTCACCTTCTCGTAGCAGCTATGTGGCGACTCCGTTTTCTGCACTTATAGGGCGGCCTCATGTCAGGGAGGCAGAAAAAACTGCTGCATCGCTCACTATGTAGCTCTTGCCACCTCCGTCGCCACTCACAAATCTCCCACATCCGTACGGTGGCCCCGATGAGACACCCATTTTCCGCTTCGACTCCGAAACGTTGGAGCGCAGTGCTGCAAGAATGAGCGTGGTGAGAAGGGCAATTTGGAGGACGAGTGTGTGGAGGGGGAAAGGGGGGGGGGACGGGAAGGGACCCCCCCCCCTCCAACAACAGCTGCTATATGGGCCCGGTTAAGGTAATTATCGGGAGAAAGCATCAAGCCATTTCGACACTTTAAAAGGAATTGGGGTAGGGATTTTTGAATGGGACATGGGGAGGAAATGGTGCCGAACCACTTTGACAGATTGAATGCAGACCTGCAGGAAGCGAGTATCTCGCTATCGTCCAGCTTAAGTGGTTGGCAGGGGCCTGGGAAAATAAAGGTACACATCAGCAAGTATTAAGCAAAGGGTTAGTTAACATGCCCAACAATTTTTTTTTTTTAGTAATATGGACCTAATTAAATCGAACTTCAAGTAATTGTGAGAAAAAAATGAATTAATATTTTACAGATCAAAATCCTAAGAGCAATGAACAGGGAACTAGAACAGGCAGATAACTAGTAAAAGTAGGGAGAAAGTTAATCAGTACAATGCTGTGGGTTAAAGGAACATGACCAAATGAAAGGGTGGAAAACCCAAACCTAGCATAACGAAGCGAGGTAAAGGGGAAATATCAAGCAACGATTTGCCCTTGCGGTATGTACCGCAAGGGCAAGTCCAGAAAAACCTGATTACATTTAAAGGATAACTTTATTAAATGTTTAAACAAGTGCAGAAAATAGTGTTCAAAGAAACCATTTTCTACTACAAGATTTTAATTACCCAAGAGCAGAGTCCTGGAGTGATGCAGAGTCTCGGGCTCTGGTAGGCGTGTCCAGGCTGAGGCTGGAGGAGTCCAGGTTGTGCACCATTGTCCAGGCTGAGGCTGGAGGAGTCCAGGTTGTGCACCATTGTCCAGGCTGAGGCTGGAGGAGTCCAGGTTGTGCACCATTGTCCAGGCTGAGGCTGGAGGAGTCCAGGTTGTGCACCATTGTCCAGGCTGAGGCTGGAGGAGTCCAGGTTGTGCACCATTGTCCAGGCTGAGGCTGGAGGAGTCCAGGTTGTGCACCATTGTCCAGGCTGAGGCTGGAGGAGTCCGGGTTGTGCACCATTGTCCAGGCTGAGGCTGGAGGAGTCCGGGTTGTGCACCCCTGTCCAGGCTCTTGCTGCGAGGGACGGCGCCAGGCTGTAGTGCTGCGTCCTAGACGGCTGTGTTGGCGCCTCGTACGGTGTAACCAAGAATAAAAATAATGTGCATTAGACACGATATAATAACAGTAATGCATCGTTCTGGCTGGGGAGTTTGCCGCAGCCCCCCACAATCGGGACCGCCATGTTAACACATTCTAGCTCTGCGTCCTGCCTTCGTCACCTGAAAATTAAAGGAGTAAAGATGTAAGAGAAGAGACGTATGGAGCAATAAACAGGGAGAGAGTTACTCAGGAGGGACCACAAGGAGTAGTCGGTCCTGGGGCGTCCAGAGCCGATTAGGGTAAACTGGACAGCGGACGAGGCACTGAAGTATGGTTATCTTCTTCTCGAGATGATTTCGGGGCTTTAGTGTCCCCGCGGCCCTGTCCTTGACCAGGCCTCCAACCCCCAGGAAGCAGCCCGTGACAGCTGACTAACACCCAGGTACCCATTTTACTGCTAGGCAACAGGGGCATAGGGTGAAAGAAACTCTGCCCATTGTTTCTCGCCGGCGCCTGGGATCAAACCCAGGATCACAAGTCCAGCGTGCTGTCCGCTCGGCCGACCGGCTCCCTTTAAGGGAAGGTTTCAGAGAAGGGAGAAGGACACCGAACACTCCACCAAAGAGCCACTCCCCCAAACAGCCACTCCATCGGACCGAACACTCCCCCAAAGAGCCACTCCTCCGGATCGAACACTACCCCCAAAGAGCCACTCCCCCGGACCGAACACTACCCCCAAGGAGCCACTCCCCCGGACCGAACACTACCCCCAAGGAGCCACTCCCCCGGACCGAACACTACCCCCAAAGAGCCACTCCTCCGGATCGAACACTACCCCCAAGGAGCCACTCCCCCGGACCGAACACTACCCCCAAAGAGCCACTCCTCCGGATCGAACACTACCCCCAAGGAGCCACTCCCCCGGACCGAACACTCCCCCAAAGAGCCACTCCCCCGGACCGAACACTCCCCCAAAGAGCCACTCCCCCGGACCGAACACTCCCCCAAAGAGCCACTCCCCCGGACCGAACACTCCCCCAAAGAGCCACTCCCCCGGACCGAACACTCCCCCAAAGAGCCACTCCCCCGGACCGAACACCCCCCCAAAGAGCCACTCCCCCGGACCGAACACTCCCCCAAAGAGCCACTCCCCCGGACCGAACACTCCCCCAAAGAGCCACTCCCCCGGACCGAACACTCCCCCAAAGAGCCACTCCCCCGGACCGAACACTCCCCCAAAGAGCCACTCCCCCGGACCGAACACTCCCCCAAAGAGCCACTCCCCCCGGACCGAACACTCCCCCAAAGAGTCACTCCCCGGACCGAACACTCCCCCAAAGAGCCACTCCCCCGACCGAACACTCCCCCAAAGAGCCACTCCCCCGACCGAACACTCCCCCAAAGAGCCACTCCCCCGACCGAACACTCCCCCAAAGAGCCACTCCCCCGACCGAACACTCCCCCAAAGAGCCACTCCCCCGGACCGAACACTCCCCCAAAGAGCCACTCCCCCGGACCGAACACTCCCCCAAAGAGCCACTCCCCCGGACCGAACACTCCCCCAAAGAGCCACTCCCCCGGACCGAACACTCCCCCAAAGAGCCACTCCCCCGGACCGAACACTCCCCCAAAGAGCCACTCCCCCGGACCGAACACTCCCCCAAAGAGTCACTCCCCGGACCGAACACTCCCCCAAAGAGTCACTCCCCGGACCGAACACTCCCCCAAAGAGTCACTCCCCGGACCGAACACTCCCCCAAAGAGCCACTCCCCCGACCGAACACTCCCCCAAAGAGCCACTCCTCCGACCGAACACTCCCCCAAAGAGCCACTCCCCCGACCGAACACTCCCCCAAAGAGCCACTCCCCCGACCGAACACTCCCCCAAAGAGCCACTCCCCCGGACCGAACACTCCCCCAAAGAGCCACTCCCCCGACCGAACACTCCCCCAAAGAGCCACTCCCCCGGACCGAACACTCCCCCAAAGAGCCACTCCCCCGGACCGAACACTCCCCCAAAGAGCCACTCCCCCGGACCGAACACTCCCCCAAAGAGCCACTCCCCCGGACCGAACACTCCCCCAAAGAGCCACTCCCCCGGACCGAACACTCCCCCAAAGAGCCACTCCCCCGGACCGAACACTCCCCCAAAGAGCCACTCCCCCGACCGAACACTCCCCCAAAGAGCCACTCCCCCGGACCGAACACTCCCCCAAAGAGACTCCCCGACCGAACACTCCCCCAAAGAGTCCCCGGACCGAACACTCCCCCAAAGAGCCACTCCCCGACCGAACACTCCCCCAAAGAGTCACTCCCCGGACCGAACACTCCCCCAAAGAGCCACTCCCCCGACCGAACACTCCCCCAAAGAGCCACTCCCCCGACCGAACACTCCCCCAAAGAGCCACTCCCCCGACCGAACACTCCCCCAAAGAGCCACTCCCCCGGACCGAACACTCCCCCAAAGAGCCACTCCCCCGGACCGAACACTCCCCCAAAGAGCCACTCCCCCGGACCGAACACTCCCCCAAAGAGCCACTCCCCCGGACCGAACACTCCCCCAAAGAGCCACTCCCCCGGACCGAACACTCCCCCAAAGAGCCACTCCCCCGGACCGAACACTCCCCCAAAGAGCCACTCCCCCGGACCGAACACTCCCCCAAAGAGCCACTCCCCCGGACCGAACACTCCCCCAAAGAGCCACTCCCCCGGACCGAACACTCCCCCAAAGAGCCACTCCCCGGACCGAACACTCCCCCAAAGAGCCACTCCCCCGACCGAACACTCCCCCAAAGAGCCACTCCCCCGACCGAACACTCCCCCAAAGAGCCACTCCCCCGACCGAACACTCCCCCAAAGAGCCACTCCCCCGACCGAACACTCCCCCAAAGAGGCACTCCCCCGACCGAACACTCCCCCAAAGAGGCACTCCCCCGACCGAACACTCCCCCAAAGAGGCACTCCCCCGACCGAGCACTCCCCCAAAGAGGCACTCCCCTGACCGAGCACTCCCCCAAAGAGGCACTCCCCCGACCGAGCACTCCCCCAAAGAGGCACTCCCCCGACCGAGCACTCCCCCAAAAGAGGCACTCCCCCGAACGAACACTCCCCCAAAGAGGCACTCCCCGGACCGAGCACTCCCCCAAAGAGGCACTCCCCGGACCGAGCACTCCCCCAAAAGAGGCACTCCCCCGAACGAACACTCCCCCAAAAGAGGCACTCCCCCGAACAAACACTCCCCCGAACGAACACTCCCCCAAAAGAGGCACGCCCCCGAACGAACACTCCCCCGAATGAACACTCCCCCAAAGAGGCACTCCCCCCGAACGAACACTCCCCCAAAGAGCCACTCCCCCGACCGAACACTCCCCCAAAGAGCCACTCCCCCGACCGAACACTCCCCCAAAGAGCCACTCCCCCGGACCGAACACTCCCCCAAAGAGCCACTCCCCCGACCGAACACTCCCCCAAAGAGCCACTCCCCCGGACCGAACACTCCCCCAAAGAGCCACTCCCCCGACCGAACACTCCCCCAAAGAGCCACTCCCCCGACCGAACACTCCCCCAAAAAGCCACTCCCCCGACCGAACACTCCCCAAAGAGCCACTCCCCCGACCGAACACTCCCCCAAAGAGCCACTCCCCCGACCGAACACTCCCCCAAAGAGCCACTCCCCCGACCGAACACTCCCCCAAAGAGCCACTCCCCCGACCGAACACTCCCCCAAAGAGCCACTCCCCCGACCGAACACTCCCCCAAAGAGGCACTCCCCCGACCGAACACTCCCCCAAAGAGGCACTCCCCCGACCGAACACTCCCCCAAAGAGGCACTCCCCCGACCGAACACTCCCCAAAGAGCCACTCCCCCGACCGAACACTCCCCCAAAGAGCCACTCCCCCGACCGAACACTCCCCCAAAAAGCCACTCCCCCGACCGAACACTCCCCCAAAGAGGCACTCCCCCGACCGAACACTCCCCCAAAGAAGCACTCCCCCGACCGAACACTCCCCAAAGAGGCACTCCCCCGACCGAACACTCCCCCAAAGAGCCACTCCCCCGACCGAACACTCCCCCAAAGAGGCACTCCCCCGACCGAACACTCCCCAAAGAGGCACTCCCCCGACCGAACACTCCCCCAAAGAGGCACTCCCCCGACCGAGCACTCCCCCAAAGAGGCACTCCCCCAAAGAGGCACTCCCCCAAAGAGGTACTCCCCCAAAGAGGCACTCCCCGGACCGAGCACTCCCCCCAAAAGAGGCACTCCCCCGAACGAACACTCCCCCAAAAGAGGCACTCCCCCGAACAAACACTCCCCCGAACGAACACTCCCCCAAAAGAGGCACGCCCCCGAACGAACACTCCCCCGAATGAACACTCCCCCAAAGAGGCACTCCCCCCGAACGAACACTCCCCCGAACAAACACTAAAAAGGCAATCCCCCCAAAAAGTATGACAAAAACAAAACGCACCACGTCAAAACTTAATCCCCCTAAAAAAAGCACAACGTCGGAAATTAATCCCCCCCCCAAAAAAAAGGCGCAACGTACAAAACGTAATCCCCCCAAAAAAAGGTATTCCCAAACGAACACTCCCCCCAAAAAGGCACGCCCCTGAACGAATGCTCCCCGAAAAAGGCACACCCCCCCCCTAAAAAAAAAAAAAGGCACTCCCCCCTCCTTCCCAACAAGTACGACAAAAACAAAAGGCACGACAATGTCAAAAGTAATCACCTAAAAATAACGTCCAAAAAGTAATTCCCCCCCCCCCCCCCCCCCCCCCCCCCCCCCAAAAAAAAAAAAAAAAAAAAAGGCACGACAAAAACAAATATACAATCAACCATCAATAGTTTCACTGAACGTGTCATATTGGAAAACCTAATAATTCCTAGAGTTTACTTACACCACACAAACGTTATTTTTAAGCCATTTCTTGAATCCATCCTTGTCCGGTGTGGCAGTGAATATAAAATTGCATTTACAAAATGGTTGCGGCTAACAGCCTGGTTGACCAGTCCAGAAACGAGGAGGCCTGGTCGACGACCGGGCCGCGGGGACACGAAGCCCCGCGGGCAAGTCTCGAGGTAAAATTCGTAAATAACATCTGAAGTAGGTTGCAACCTTATAAAATATATAGGTGTACAAATCTACAATTCGGGCAATCTTTTGTACGAACTATCCTGTGTGGAAACGGCTGTATGAAGCAGCATCCTCAATGGTATGAACAAAATTCTATTTACCTAAAAACCATGTTTGATTTACACTCTGTTAGTCCAACGAAAATGATTAAGAATACCTGCTTGATGGGGTTCTGAGAGTTGTTCTACTCCCCAAGCCCGGCCCGAGGCCAGGCTTGACTTTTGAGAGTTTGAAGGAGTTGTATAAAATGTAAAAAACTAATCCCCTCTAACCATACCTGATTAACCACAGAAGTATGTACATATGTACACTTGGCAGTTGACAAACTTCCTCAGCTGAACTGTGGCGCAGCAACACTTGTCTTCAGTAGAGCTGCTCGTCGTCCTCCAACACGACCGGGACGACGACGGCTAAGCACTGCCGAGGTCACCTCGCATGTGAGTACATTGGACGCTCTGGTGACGTCACAATTATACCCCCAATTACGCAGTTCCTTAATTTGCAATGCCCCATTTACTGGAACTGTAGTTTTATATTATTGATATTTACCATTTACAATAAACATCATATGTTAAATAGTGTAAATGAGATACGAAAGGTCTAAGTAAGAGGAGGCTTTGACCTTTATTGTCGTGCTGGTAATCACAGCCGCCGCCGGTAACTACCAAATCACCCACCAGCAAAATTACCAAACATATGTACCCATACGGACCCCACACCTTTACAGTTACATTAGCAATTTACACCGCTGTGAGAGTAATACAAAATATATTGAGTTATTTATTCTAGTTATTTGAATATTTGGCAAAGATTTTAGCCAAATATTCCAAGCTACTCAACCCATGATTTTACTCATGCCTTTCCACCACACAACACGCGTACACGGTCAAGCAAATACACTGATTTCTTCAACGCTTTGTAAATCAGTTGAAATATCTAGTACCGCACTTGCCGCCTCGGGATGGGGAAGGAACTGATCTTTATTACATTTCCTGCCTCGACCCTTTGTTGTTAAAACCAACAGTGTCCAGATGTGTCTGTATCGTACGCGTGGTCAAGTTTCTCTCTCTCTCTCGTGTATGTTTTTAGGAGTATTTACTTCATAGTAATACAACCCCACGCCACCCCCTCCCAGATTCACTGCTCCCACGCCACTCCCTCCCAGGATCACTACTCCCACTGCCAATTCTTCCCCTCAGGCTGTACTGAACGGGGTGAGAATAGCTTGAGCTATCTCACCCCTTTGTGTGTATTTTACTTCAATAAACTTATTTCAATTTCAATTTCAATTTCCCCTCAGGCTCACCGCTCCCACGCCAACTCCTCAAGGATCACCACACACGCCATTTCCTCAGGTTCATCATACCCAAGCTTTCCCCTCAAGTTCACCGACTCCATGCCACCTCTAGGCATATTTGAATTTTACTTAAATACATGCAATGAAAAAGTCAATAAGTCGAGCACTACCAAGAACCACACGCGGAAATAATTGACAAGAATTTAAAAGTACCACATGGCACTTTTAGCTTCATGTACTGCCAGTATGTATTGTCCCACTCCAAGCACTCTGCATTGGAAATGTTGCTCCTGTTTCTTCATATTATGTTGTTCCCTGCATAACATGTAATATGATCTTTTACCCTTATATGTCAGGTCATTTTCCTCGTGCTTATTGGGTACCCTGCAGACTATACTTATGTAAAGCTTTACTGCAGCCCTTGCTCCTTTTGCATACTGGTACATAGATTTATACAGCTTCACTGCATTTATTCTTTCAAACCCTCCAAATCTTCTACCTCCAAGCTGACCATGCAAGCATTTAGGATGGAGGTTATGAGCCCAACCGTAACAAATACGCCCTGTACAGCTGGCTTCTTGAGAAAAGGAAGATGGGAAAAGGACTAAGCCCAGAGAAGAAAATCCTCACAGCCAAATTCAGAAGTCACACCTCCAAATACATTCTTTTTATACGACCTTTATACTGAATGTGCTGTCTACAAGCACAATATTGTTCCAGACCAACTCTAACTTCATACATTTCAGGCTTTATACATCCTAGCAAATACAATATTCTTACGTATATCCATGTCTTCAATCCCAGCATTTATGTCTTGTGCTCCTGCAACATTCCAAGTTGTTCAGAGATCAATATAGGGTGCAACATTCCCAGCGGTGATGTCCTGTACATTTTCTACATTTCTTTCTACTGTCTGCCACTCTATAAAACAAAAAATCCAACCTTTTAGCCTAACCAGAAACAGATGAACACTTTTCTTTCTCAATCTGCTAAATGGTATTGTTGGTATAATAGGTGTGATTTGCATTATGTCCTATATGCAAGATATTGCATTTTCAATACTGAATAGCATTTACCACTCTTCTGACCATATGTGTTCTTCTGACTTTGTAATGTCTCAATATCATTTTCATTTCCAACGTTACAATAAATCTTGTCGTTATCTACAAATTAATATGGTTTGTAAAATAGTAAACAATGAGTCTAAGAAAACCCACTCATGGGTGTTAACAAACAAGTTCACGCTACATATAAAAAAGGAAGTTTATCCTTAATAAATCATCAAATCTTCAAATTACAATATAAATATAGAGTAAAAGTGAAGAAACAGTCTAAGAGTTTTATATTGACAAGAGACTTAACTTCACAATTGGAGTGAAGTCAATCGCCTCACCAACACCCAGAAGAGTTCAACACTTGGGAGGGTCCATCACCTCATACCAACACTTGCGGGTGTGTTTGACCAATATTCCAGGTGTACCTATTTATTTCTAGGCAAAACCAAGGCACCAAGTGTAAGGAAAATTGGCCAAATTCCCTATCCTGTGCTTGAATTAGGTGGAATTGGAATTGCTCTTAACCAAGGAGCATTGGGTGGTGAAGAGTTGGCAGAGACTGGTAAAAAGGTTATCTTAATACATTTTATGCTCAAAACCCTTCATATTATTGGCGTTACACAATAAACAGTGTATGTACCTACTAACAAGTCATTAAAAGGTTCTAATGAATAATTCAAATCATTGGGAACAAGAAGCCTGTACTTAAGCTTGTATTGAGGTCTCTTCCCATAGATTGAAATACTGTCCATCCCAGGATGCAACACACAACTGTTACCTAATTCCCAAGTACAGTACCTGTTTACTGCTAGGTGAATAAGGACATGAGCTGAAAATAAATAAGCTCAACCAATTTCCTACCCAGCGATCGAACCCTGGATTCCTGATTGCGAGTTGAGAAAGCAGGCCATTGTCTTATCACACTTATAATAGATTAGCATATTTTTCTAGAGCTTTTGTAATAATTGTAGGAAAATTATACCATGTTCTCTTGAAAGTTTTATTAAGAGCGAATAGTCAATGCAATTTTAGGAGGCAAAAAGTATTAATAATGCATACAAGATGCTGGCAACAGTTCCTTTGAGAGAAACCAGCCTAACTCAACATTGGAATTATTAACAAAAACCAGACTGTATTGACCATGTATAATGACTACATCACAAGTTTTAAGGCTTCTAGCATTTTTTTGAGAGAGAGAGAGATAAGACAGTATACCCATTTAACTGATTATCAACTCATTCAATTACTTTTTATAATTATTTATTATAATAAATACATTTCTGAATTCTAAATCATAAAAGAATAAATGAGAAATGTCCATGGATGTAACAACAAAACAACTGTCAGCTTCGAACATGAAAAAAACAAGAGCAAAGGTAAAAAATGGCCTCGGTAAAACATTTATTAAAATTCAAGGCATTTGAAGATTGTAATACACACTATGCTGTACATATGTAAAACTGCAAGCAAGTTATGATCTTCAGAGCATATCCTACAAGATTCACTGTGTAATAGTTTGCCCTGTTTTGTGTATTGTATAACTGGATGGAATCTGTGTGTGTTTTATACAAATTACATGTTGGGGTCAATGTGAGTACACTAGTAGTTCAACACAATGCCAAACAGCTTATTCAAGTGCCCTAAGTTACAGACATTCTACTAAATCGGAGAAATGTTCTACCCAGGTAAGAACTACCTACCTAAGGTCTTGTCTCAGTACTTTAGAGGTTAAATTAATATAATATGAACTAGTTTTAAAATAGAAGTACAATAATAAAGGATATTTATTTATAGTTACCTTGGAAGAAAAAAATTAGAGGGTGGAAGAGGGGGGATAAATAATATTGTGAGCTAGTCTTCTTCCTACAGGAACACTAAATTCAATCACATCATTACTGTACATAGACAGTCTGTACAACAGTTTGATTGTTTATAAAAGCCAAATCAAATAAATTACATTACAATATATACAAAAGTCACTATAACCAATGGCATATGTTACCAATGTAACTAATTGGTCTGTAAAAATGTGTATCTAATATAATTGAAACTAATAAATACAGAAAGTTTACTAGAACTGACAAGTAATCAAATAATATTAACCACAAAAACTACTCCTAATGAAGCAGTAAACATTTATGACTTGAGGTATGTAGTGGCAGTATGCTTACATTTCTGAATCCTGACCAGTTATTTTTGCTTGCTTTCTTCCCTCCCTGTAATATTGATGAACAATAATTTGGCCTTGAAACATAACAGGTAGATACGAGCTTTATAATGAACTAACTGCCAGTAAGCATATAGAATGAAAATAAATAAGTATATGCCTTATAATTCCAGTTATTGGGACCGGAATCCTGTATAGTACTTGGACTTACTGAGGTCCTATCCCTAGGCAACCCGTTCTCGCAAATTTAATAAGTCAATATTGACTTATTAAATATGTGCATAAGTGACATACTTAACATAATAGATACCCTTAAAAAGATTCATAGAAAACACCGACCTTACCTAACCTTGTTAGTATCTTAAGATAAGCATCTTATTGCCTCGTAATTACAATTATTACCTAACCTATAATAGGTATAGGTTAAGTAATAATTGTAATTACGAAGCAATAAGATGCTTATCTTAAGATACTAACAAGGTTAGGTAAGGTCGGTGTTTTCTATGAATCTTTTTAAGGGTATCTATTATGTTTAGTATATCACCTATGCACGTAGTTAATAAGTCAATATTGACTTTACGAATTTGCGAGAACGGGTTGCCCTAGGCCAACTACTGACCTTTCCTAGGATGCAACCCACAACAATTGCCCTACTCCCAGGTACCTAGTTACTGATGGGGTCAATGGAGGCATTAGGTGAAAGGAAACATGCCCAACCATTTCTGCCCCACCCAGGAGCTGAATCTGGGATCCTGAACTGTGAATTGAGGATATAGACCACTGTACTATGGGAAAGAAAATAAATACTGCATATAACTTATCTAATTTATCTATAGTAGTTAAAATCCTGAACATTTTTAGTATGCCCTAATTGCTTACTATGTTCCTAGAGGGTTTAGCAGTATTTGTGGCTTCACAACTCATTATACTCGATTAAAAGAAAATTAAATTTAATCCACCATGGCTTAGAGAAGACGCCTTAGATTAAAAAGCACCTGCATGTGTTAGGAAAGTAGTACCACGATGGTACATGTCTGGGTGGTTTGGTTACACAGGACAAACAGTGTCGAGCGGAACTGTAGCCCCTTTGATTACACAAGAGCCTTACAAAAGGTTTTGGATTCATGTTATGATTTTAATATAAATACTTTTGTTTAATAAATACCTATTTGTTATTTTCAAGTGAGACATTTACAGGTTGTGAACCTTGAAGGGAACCTTCATCTCATAATATAACAAATTGTAAAATCTTCAATAAATTATTGATAAAGTTCTTGATCAAATGCTGCATCAATAACTTGTACCAACTTTCAAATGGGACTGGCACAGTAAACCAGCTCAAGTATTTATCAAAGGAACCTCTTTCCTTACCATAATTCACTCCATATTTAAATTTTTAAATTGTCAGTTTTAAGATAATTATAAATAATTTATGCCAAATAACAATATACTGTATATAATGAAATTATATGACATATGTACCCTACATGTGCAGACATGAAAATACACAAACTTTCATGTATATGCTTACAACATCCAAATGTGTTTCAAAGAGATTTAACAAATAATCTATAACCATTCTTATTCTGGAGGCCAGGAAATTAACAGGAGTCATGGCGGGGCAATAAACATTTATGGAATATTTTGTGTAATGAGCTAGAAATTGGAATCCATATGATCAATAACAAAAATATATTATAATCCACTAACTGTTACACAAAAAACAACAGCAGTTAAACTGCTTCACAGCAAATAGTCTACTCTCAATGACAAGATTATTTATATTTACTGCCCAGACTAGTTGTCTGATAACTGTTGCAAAATCTGGAGGGTTGGTAACACCGTGGATTACTTTGGCTGGTGTAGGTTGGAGTAGGTTGGAATAAATTGAAGTAAATTGGAATAGGAAGGTGTTGGTTGGTGTTGGTTCGTGTAGGTTGGAGTTGGTTGGAGTGCATGAGTCCACCGGTCATGAGATCAGATCATGTTGGTCAGACAACAGGGTGAATTATCATGCTACATCAGGCCGTTATGATATTTTTTGGTTGAAACATTTTTGGTCATCACGCTTATTTCCAACAGTTTATTGTATGGTTACAAACAGCAAGCATAGTAGTCATTAATAGTATGCCACTATGATGTACAGTATTTGAGAATAAAATATTAATTTATTTTTTATTTATTTTTATTTATTTATTTATTTATATATACAAGAGTTCTTACATTCTTGTACAGCCACTAGCACGCATAGCGTTTCGGGCAAGTCCTTAATCTTAATATTCCCCGGAATACGACCCGCCAAATCGTTTAACAACCAGGTACCCATTTTACTGTTGGGTAAACAGAGGCTACAGTTAAGGATTGCCGCCCAGTAAATCTTTCTCGGCCAAGATACGAACCCAGGCCAAAGCGCTTGCGAAATACCAGGAGAGTGTCTTAACCACTACACCACGGGACTGCATATGGTGAATTTATATGGTGTATTGCAAATGTTGAGGAAAGTATTTATTCTATTCCAGCATGGTTAGCATTAGTTTTCAAATTCAGATTCATAATTTCACATTAAATATTAATTATAACAGCAACTGCTAAATTTAACAGGAGTAATTAAGGAAAAGATCTATTTGCTACTTCAAGACATTGGTAGAACCTGTGCTTTAATTATAAATCCCCAAAATAATTTCACAATTTGACCTAAGTTGTTAGTCAAAATCTTGAGTCATGATATAAAAAGTGAAATTCAAATTTTTTCATGAGGTGTATACGGACATGACTTGCCATCGGTTTCTCTTCTGGGCTATGGCTTAAAGCCAGGGGATTATCTTGCACACAATAGGCATTCATGAATCTAGAGTTTCTACCAGAAATACTACCATTAAGCATCCTTACCCATCAAATTATTTGAAACTGGTCATTAATAAAAGCAAGAGTACAGTACTGCAGTAAAGAAACTAACGTTAAAGAACCAAGACTTAAGAGGGGACTGGTTTCATCATCAACTCTTAAGTGCCAACAATGAACATTTATCAAACAAGTTGAACTTGTACTTCACTAATCATCCTGAATCCTAAATTTATTTGATATTTGGAAGTCAATGGAAATGGGTTGAAATATAAGATCCGTATGATTTAATTTTCATGAATATATAATAATAAATTCAATAATTGCTTAACTTACTGTTAAATGAACAAATTTTTAACTTGTTACTATTACTGTTAAACTGTCTTCAATTCTGATCCCTTGAAATTTGGATTCATGTCTTACATTATGATACAGTGAAAGCTAAAGAGTGGAGATCACTCTGAGGTTTACTTACAAACACTCAGTCTTGTGAAATAACTATATGATATACATGCTTACAGTTGTTACGAGTTAAAATAAGTTGATATTTTCATACAGACAAATTCCATTCCTTGTCTCTATAACAAACTTTTGAATGGATGGTGGCAGTCCTTGCTTCCTTCTAGCACTTCTACTTTTACTTTCTACTCTTCTACCTTGTATCCCCTTTCTATCTACCCCTTATCTACTTTACCTACTCTAACCCATTTTCTCTCATTCTAAACTTTCCCTTTCCCCTTTACTATTATTCCTCTTCCCCCACCTCCCCCACTCACTCCTCCCTTCCACCTCACTCTCCCATACACTATACATTTTCATCTTCCTTCTTTCTCTCTATGTATGTGTGTGTGTGTGTGTGTGTGTGTGTGTGTGTGTATTTTATATTTATATATATATATATATATATATATATATATATATATATATATATATATATATATATATATATATATATATATATATATATATATATATATATATATATATATATATATATATATATATATATATATATATATATATAATATAAATTAGCTAAAGACTTTAGCTAATTATTCCCACTTTCAAAATGTGGTTTCATTGCATTCAATAGCTTTTCTTGATCTCATTCCAAGGGTAACTCAACTATGATGACATTATTTATTAATATAATTTGGTAATTTTAACTAGTGACAAAATATGGGCATAAATTAACAGCATTTCCTAAGGGTCGATGCACACTTGAGGGTGACCCACATTCTAAATGGATATTAAAAAGTGTAGCTCATTAAAAAGGAAATCTGCTTGAAGTCAAATCTGACTTTCAATGGTAAAAAAAAAAAAGTTTAAATACAACTAAAAGTATTAAAGAAAAAATATGCTCTTATCTTTACTTGCCCTTAAGATGCCTATACAAATTCAACCCAAGAATCTGAATATCAACCTTGATTGCATCATTAAGCAAGACAACAACAACAACAACAACCTGCTGGCCATTAGAATGGAGGACAATTATATAGTAGTATTGTACAGCATTTCTATTCCCACTAGTTTTGTTAGGAAAATTAACTTTTAACATATCACATTGGTCAGAATTGCACAGATCATTGGGTTGTTTATGTCATATGTATGGCTGATGCTTCACCCTTGAGCCGAATATCACGGCTAAAAATGGACAAAATTTTAGAGATACAGTACATGTATTGAAGAGAACATACTATACAAGTGGCCGGAAGGGTGATGCCCAAATGAGGCACAGAACATAACACTACTACAAACTTAACGTAGGGTAAAAATCCCGAGATAAAATAAAAAATTGTATCCATTATAGACAAAATCTTTGGTCCACAATGTGAAGTTCAGGAGGGATTGTGTGCAACACATATTTAAATGAACTTTATTTCAAGCTTACCTCTCAACTTAGAACGTAACTCGAGGACTTGCCTGAAGATATTAAAGACTTTCAAAAACTTAACTACTGTACTTATAAGCAATATGGTTAAAATGTTGTCTACTGTCACAACCATTTCAGAATTCTAGGATAAAGAGAATTATAACAATAAATTAAACTTTTTTAAATTGTTTACTATACTGTTGTATTGTTTAAATGCGATTGAAATATTTATTTAAAACAGGAATCAAGCTTTTAACAGCTTGGAAACTAGCAGTGCTCTTGCTATTATGTTAATAGTGACTAGATACATCTCATTGCAATTTTACAAATTTGCAATTATTTTATTTTTGGCAAAGAAGAGCACCATTTTATCGACTAAATAGACCAAATTTGATAAAGATAACATGGATATAACATATGGCATCTTTACCTATGTTTATTACCAGCATGAACTGCAGGTTTTATAAGATTGTATTACCATCTGACTAGAAAGTGATGGCACCCTTTCTTGAACACTGATCAAGTTGTACCATTAATCCTCTTGACTACAGAGTGGTTTTATAGTGAATGATACAGTCTATATCTACTCCTGTCTATTGATATGACGACAAAATTCATATGGGAATAAAAACCAGGACACACATTTATGTATCAGTTGTAGTTATTTACTTGCATTAAACTTAAAAATAATATCATAGCTAATGTGGGAAGTACATTACCGTAGTTCTGTATTTCCAAGCACATATGATACACTTCATCTTATAAAACAGTGTCACCCCTTCTGAGAGAAGTTCTCTTGAGGGGATGGAGGAATGGAGATATGGCACTAAAAAACAAAAAGGTAAACGTGCTATTTCAGGAGAGTTTTATGTGGATACTTTTTTTTTTCTAAAATGAGCGATAAATTTTTTGTCATACAGATACTGAGATTATAATTCTCAAATTACATTGAGACTATTTACCCCTCTATGAGAAGAGTAACCTTAATATGATTCTTCTGTTAGGACAAGCCTCACTATTTTAGATGTGATAAGGTTATCAGTTTCCCTCTCATCTTATGTAGGACTGGTTTCTTCCATCTCATACTTCAAACCAACTGGATACCAGGTGTGAGAAGTCAGCATGATGGAGTCATCCCAGGCCTAGTGCAGCTCCTGTTATGTGTTGTCAGGTATCTGTGCTGTATTCATTGGAGGCTCCTTGTTGAAGAGAACTACCAGGGCTTCTAAAGACTGTCGTACCTGTTGGGTAATAAGAATGTTGTATAATCAAAGATAGGCTTTAACACTTTATGTGTATGAAGTGTGAAGTAGTACTTCTGCCAGATACAATGAATACCAAGACATCATATCTTTTATGTGATATAAAAACCCACAAAAATTGAACATTTGATGTAATAAACTGCCACTTTGTGTGGACCTACAGTATTACTTCAGTGCATAAGGCTCCTGTAGTATAAAGCCTCACAAAACATGCCAGGCTTCTACTGACAAACATCTTAAAAATTTGGTTTGCTTAAAAAGGTAAGGGAAACAGAATTAGAGATCAACCCAACCAAGGAAACATTATAAAAAAGCAGAAAACGATGAATCATGATAGTTGTTACTTGGTGACTTCAACTTGAAATCAATAGACTGGAAAGCCTATGAAGCAAGAATGGAGGATATTTGGACTTGTAAACCTCACCCTGGAGACATTCATGACTCATCATGTTAAGCAGGCTACACTTTCCAATTTTAGAATCACTTAAATACTATACATAGATGGTGATACACTTAAGAAATTCTTCACAACTTTTGTTAGACTAAAGCTGGAATATGCAGCGGTTGTATGGTACCCATATCTTAAGAAGCACATCAACTGGAAAAGGTGCAAAGAAATGCAATTAATGGCTCCAGGAACTGAAAGACAAGAGCTACTAGAAGAGATTAGAGGCATTAAATATGCCAAACCTAGAAGATAGAAGAAAAAGTGGCAATATGATCACTATTTATTTTGAGTCAAAATAGTAATGGGTATCTACAAAACTGATAGGGAAGAATTCATGAGACCTGGTACTTCAAGAACAAGAGTGTCATACATTTAAGATAACTAAACAAAGCTGCTGAAGAAATGTGAGAAAATTCACTTTCTTAGAGTGGTAGATGGTTAGAACACGTTAAGTGTGAAGGTTACTTGTTAAGTGAGAAGGTGGTGGAGGCCAAAACCGTCAGTAGTTTCAAAGCGTTATATGACAGTGCAGGGAAGACAGGGCACACTAAGCATAGCTCTTGCCCTGTAACTACACTTAGGTAATCAATCAGTCCCCCTCCCCCCCCAACCACCCTCCCACACCCATATACCCACCCAAGCCCACCAGCCTGGACCCGATGGAACCACCCACCCATACTCACTCACTCACACACACACACACACACACACACACACACACACACACACACACACACACACACACACACACACACACACACACACACACACACACACACACTCATTCTCATTCTCTCAAGCATATTGAATAGCAAAGTAAGAGAATTAGAAAGGCTCACTGTGGCAATGTGTTTGAGCTGGATACTGAGGGTCTTCTCGATCTCTGTGGAGGCAGCAGCATGAAGCCTCTGTTGCATCTGTAGTACCTCCTCATACATGCCATCACTGCAAGAGGGGAACATGGCAATAGTCTGACAGTTAATTACTGCTGCCCGGGACAGCAAGCTTGTACTGTACTTGGCTTATCGAGGTTTCCTTAAACCAATTACTGACCTTCCCCAAGACGCAACCCACAACAAATACCTAACTCCCCGGTACCTATTTAATACTGGCTAAATCGAGGATTCAGGTAAAAGAAAAATGTATGTCAAACCATTTCTGTCATATCTGAGTTCCTCGATTGTGAGCTGAGGACATTGGTCACCGTGCTACGGGACCAAGTTGTGGCATATTGCCATGGGGGACTGCTTACAATGTATACTTACAATGCACATAAATCTGTTATTGGCACGGCTCAAAAGAGGTGTTTTGCAACCAACTTTTTGCTGCTATTCTGTCTGGGAACATTAACCAGAAATAAATGTAAATATTGACAGGAAAGACCAAAATGTGATTTGATCATAATCAAAGGCCACTGGTACACAATAACCTCACCGCACAGTAAGTAATTAAAAAAAATATTTTTTTTTCATGGGTTTGGTTAAACTCCATTACATATACTGTATATGTATTATAACCATATTTGCATCAGTTATACAAAAAAAGGATAAAAAATAACAAAAATCAACATGTGATGATAACCATTATACTCTGGGGATTAATGTATGACAATAAGTCTCTTTAAGGGTTAAGATTTCCTGCATTCACTCCTCCTTCTAAGATAATTACAACCATCTGTCACAACACTTACTAGTCGTCGTACTTCTCCAGTCCCAGTTGCTGGCTGAGGATGTCAACCCGGTGGAGCATGAACGCCGCCGAGGCAAAGAGCATGAGGAGGAGGAGTGTGGAGATGATGAGGAGGAGAGAGGTTCTAGGTAGTGCCCACAACTCCTTGATGCCTTCACCCACTAACTTTACAGGCACTCGCCCCATCCTGAAGCATGCTGAGGAAGAGATACAGAATTAAGAAACAATGGTAAGGGTTATTGTCATTGGTGGAAGTGCATCTAAAAAGGTTCCTATAAGGTGGGATGGTTGTTAAGAGTGATGTTTAAGAGCAGAGGGATGTCAGAAGAGAAAAGTGGTGTGTGGAAGGTATCTATTAGGACTGGGATATCTGAAGGCGATACAGTTCATTTGGAAGGGAAATGTTGGTGAATCGAGGGCTATCTTTAAGGACACAAATATTTGTAGGGGGTATACATCTGTAAGGTTTACTCCAAGGGTGAATGTTTAAAGGAGACATTTTGAGGTGGGATGTCTCCAAGAGCATATCCAAGAAGGTTTGGAATATTAATATCAGGGACGCGAAGCCTCAAATGTTTTGCATATTAGTGACTATTATGTATTGTACCTGCATAAATTATGAATCCTCCAATGTTCATGTATCATATGTATGAATGTCTGTAATCTTGCATAAATATTATTATTATTATTATTATTATTATTATTATTATTATTATTATTGAGAAAATCCACTAGGGTTGTGAGGTGGCGCGAACCTACGACCCGGCATTGCCAGTCACAAACTCTACCACTAGATCATCCTAACTCGTAAAAGTCTTACAACCGGATTTATACTGAAATCACAGGACGTCTGGAGGCTCGAACTGAAGCCAATCCAAGATTTTACGTATGACCCACAAGCACTCAGGTGGAAGGGCAGAGTGGTCCCACACCTTACATATATCCCATAAGCTTTCAGGGTCATCAGCAAATTGAATTGGTTTCCATATACCCATGGAACTGCCTACCTGCCAAAGCCTTAAATGCAAGAAAATTGCTTCAATTCAAGATCCAGTTGGATAAAAATCATTGGGACAAATGGGGGATATTTGACAAGCCACCTGCTTCCTATCCTCATCAAGGCTACTAACAAGATGGTGGCCCTTGGCCCATCAGATCAAACAAAAGTGAGGAAGGGGGGATAGGAGAGTATAAAGCAACCTGTCATTCAGAAATGATAGTACATATTATTAGTATGGAGAAAATATGGACTGTTGTACCCAAAATAAGACTACATTTCGAACTTTAGTATTAATTTTGTAGAAGGCCTGAGAAAAAAGCCAAGAATCGAACCTAAACTTTCACAGACTTATTGTAGTCCATATATGCACTAAATTAGGTATTGTTGGCATATATAGCCCTAGGAGTAATCATTTATTCCTACAATAGGTTAAATTTGGTTTACCATTATTGTTCCACTTTTTGAAATGCCATTGATATTAATTCAATTCTACAAAACTAATTTTTGTTGGGTACAACAGCACATATTTTGTCCATTCCATCCATAGCAGCTATACTATAGGTTTTAACTTTTTTAAAGGATGGTATGGTATAAAGGTTTGTAGACGACTTACTTTTCACTAGGGAGCCTTGTGTGACCCATTGTAGTAGCCCAGCATCAGCATCTCTTCTGGGCTCTTCCACTATGCTGCCGCTTTTAGCACCCGAAAAACTCCCTTGTCGTGCTGCCGCAGAGCCTGCTGACCCCACTAAACTGTTGACTGGAATGCTACTGCTATTTGTGGTGGAGGGAATGCGGATGTCTTGAATGGGAAGAATGCTGGAGACAATGTTGGCAGTGGTTGTGGTAATGGTGCTGTCTCGGGTCCAGGGAGAAGAGATGGCAGTGGTGCTGATGAGAGTGGGCACTCCGATCAACACAGGGATGGGGTTGGTTACCACATAGGCAACATCGGAGTGGTCTTCACTCTCTGCACTACCCGACACCGAGTCCTCCACCTCGTCATCCTCTTCCTCTCCAGCCTGTAAAATATACATAGGTAGTTGTTGAGGAAGAGACTTCTGCAGTTAATACATGATTTCTGCTACCACAGCCACTGCACGAGGTAAAAGACAATTTGTTTCTCATATCTTAGAAATGATCATTACTATGTGGGGGAACTGATCACCCCACAGAAGAAGTATCAGCCCATCACCTGTTGACCTGGCCATGTGACTCCTAGAAGTATGGTTTTACACGGATTAGAGATAAGACAAAACAGAGGGTAGAAGGTCCCTTTCTGAGAAATCCTATACTTGACTACACGACAAGGATGGATACACCCGCACCTCAATATTATGCTCCACACTGATTTTGGCATCCAGCACCAGCACCTAAGGTCACGTTCACCATCTATTATACCACCACTAACCTCACACACACACACTACCTGTTACACCACCAGCTAATCCATCACTAATCTTTTACAACCTGTTACACAATGACCACCTTTCATATACTACACCACCACCACCTGTTATACCACTACCTGTAACACCATCCCCTATTGCACAACCACCATCCCCCTATTGCACAACCACCATCCCCCTATTGCACAACCACCAACTGTTCACACCCACCTGCACTAGCACACAAACCTCCACTGCACTCACCACCTGCACCACGGAGAGCGGAGGCTCGCTGTCGCTGTCTGCCATCCGCTGCGCCTTCTTCCAGATATGGAGCATGAGCTTGTAGGTGGAATCCCGGGAGAGGAGGGAGCCGAAAACGTATGTTTTGCCGTCCACCATGTGCAGACCCACGGCGTTGGGGATGATCTTTGCAGTCCTCTCCTTCTGGATCGTCTCCACTTGCGTCACAGGTATCAGCAGCTGCAATGACAGGGACAGATGTAGTCGGGAATCATGGGGTAGCAAGAACGACGGTGGTGAGTCGTGGGGGAAGCAAGGACAGTAATGAATCATGTGATAGCAACAAGAAAGTGGCTGTAGCAGCCACATAAAGAGATAATGTGGCAGCCACTTAAATCATCCCAAGTTATTCCACATTCTAAGAAATTCTATTCAAATCATTGAAAGGGGCCCCAATAATCCCCACATTCACTAATGACACTCTCCCTCTACACACAAGCAGCCGACTTCCTGTCACCGTCGAAGCCACTAGAAAGATGGTGACCTTCAGGTAAACTCCGGTAAATATCCATCGAAGTAACTCGAAGAACAATCCATTTCAAGAAGCAGGCGCCAGGAATTAGCGACAAAAGAACGGTACGAGCATCGCCACCAGACAACACGAACTGGCGATCCTATACAATTTTCCCTGTGCTATCCAGTGGCTGATGAGAGCTGACGGCACTGAATTATTTATCGACAGTCAACTGGTGGCGCGGCGAGAGCAGGTCACAGGGCGAATTTAAATACAATTTTGGAGATTTGTGGGTTGCTGGGCAATCTTTTGAGAGGGGGTGAAGTGGCACAGCTTGAGGGGGGTGAGGTGGTACAGTTTGAGGGGGAGGGGCGATGTGGCACAGCTTGAAGGTGGGGGTGGAGGTGGCACAGCTTGCAGGGGGTGGTGGCGGCGCAGCTTGCAGGGGGGTGGAGGTGGTACAGCTTGACAGGAGTGAGGTGATGCGATTTGAGACCTGGAAGTAGTAAGGCTTGAGGTGGGTGACAAAGGGTAGGGAGAGATATGAAGGGCAGTATGAAACCACAGGAGTTTTGGAAGTAAACAAGTTACAGCCCCGGTCCTGTGCCAGGTAAGTCCACTCCGGGTTCACCATAGCCCGTGCTACTTGGAACGTTTCGTTCCATGTAGCTGAATCTAAAAACAACAACAACAACAACGCAAACACACACTACCACACCCTGTCCACACCAGCAAGCCCGAGTGATTTCAAAAGACATCCATCGCCATTGCGACCCGTTGAGGGGGGTTTTAAAAACAAAAATGCGCCACAAACGCCTAAGATACAGGACTCGCGCCCATGGACGGCCATGTTTCACCAAATGCGACGTCTTGAAGATCCAAAAAGAAGGCGCCGGCATAACATCCATCACCCTTGGTCAAGGGGAGAATATTGTGTTATATTTCTCGTGTGTGGAGGATATCGAAAAAACTAACAAAATTCGATCGCACTCTTCGCAAAAGTGCACCACCTCTGTCCTCTCTTCTCACGTCAGTACACCGCCGACCGAACAGTCTTTATCAGCGGGACCAGCCGCTGGATCGCGGACCGAGGACAAAGAGAGATTACCACCAACATCGAGGAAGAAAATCCGAACCTGGGCGTATTCGATGTTATATTCTGCAGCACTGATACCGACGACGACAAGCGCCGCAGCATGAAGATATCCTTCTCCACCGTAGCCGCGGCCAACCAGGCTGCCACATATGGTCTCCACTGCTTCAGCATCAAGATTCTACCCTTCCAATTTAAGAAAGATTCCACGAGCTCCTACAGTGCGTTCAGTGCTACGATTACTCTTACCCCACCAACAAGTGTCAGCACCCCGTCCAGAAGTGCAGCCTTAGTGTCCAGGACCATCATTATTCCATCTGCAAACCAAAAACCCATTGCGGCCTGCTCTGCAGCGGCGATCACCCTGCAATTTCCCACCGCTGCTCTCGCAGACAGGAAATAATTACGATCCAGGCTGAATTCAATAAAGCCAAACCTTCTACTTCCGCTGCAGAAGCCACCGGCCCCAATCCTAGCACCTCAGCTCCCACCAACCTACCAGAAGACTACCAAACAGTGGCTCCTCCCAACAGGCCACCCGGCCTCCACTCTGGGGACCAAAGGACCAACCAGCACCTCACAGTCCCTTGCATCATGTGTAGGCATTATCCCTGGTCTTATTTTACTAGCGGAGAAGCTTGCCGGACCAGACAATCAACGATTCGTCAAGGAACTCAACGCGCTGTACCTAGCCAACGGCCTGCTCCCCATCATCGCCCAGGACGCAAGTCTTACTGCTTCCACTACCACTCCGGAGACTACCACCAGGACGACCTCGAGGTCGATCTCAACACAGACTCCAGAACCATCCAAGACCCGGGCGGCTCAAACAGGTAATTCCCTCTCCAGCTCCCAACACTCCTACCATCACCATCTCAGCAGCCGCGCTAGCAGACGTGTTGTCTACAAATACTAAGAGCACCACCAACGCTCCTGAAACAGCTTCTACCACCAATCCACGACACCTGAGCCTACCTCAGGCTGCGAGACCAAAGACAAAACCACCAACTACGGATGTTACGGACTCCTCAGGCGAGGAGGAGCCCTCAGTAGGAGCTCCACCGCCGCAGCACAAATACGACACGTACTCGGTACAAGACCTCCTGATAGAGGCCACCTCACCAAACTCCAACGACAGCTCGGCCAGGTCAACTCACAGCAATTCTCAACCAAAGAAAAAACGGAGGACCTAGAAGTTTACACTAACCCACCAGCTCCATAACTGGTACAGCCAGCCCTATTCCCAGATCTCCAGGATCAGCTATTGATATAAATAATGGCTCCAAAGAGCCTCCAGTTACGGGCTCACCATAGCCCATGCTACTTGGAACTTTTGGTTCCGGGTAGCTTATCCTAAAACAACAATCTAAAACAACAGGGGGACCGAAGGTTGAGAGATCGAACCGGGGATTGAACCCGGAATCTGAGGACTACGAATCCCGAGCGCTATCTACTCAGCTGTCAGGCCCACCCAGTTTGACAATCCGGTACTGGCACCCGGATCCTCATTCATGCATGTGAGTGGCCCATTGAACCAAGTGAAACCCCACCACTCATCTCCCCCAATGATGCAAAACCCATGGAAACACAAAACATAGAAGAGCTGTGATCTTGACAAACTAGTAATGATACGAAAAATGGCTGCTAGAAATCCCCTCAAGCCCGTGCAATGGGATGAAAATGTAAATACGAAAGACACCAAAGATAATGCAAGATAAAGTGACGTCCCAGAGTTAACAACAAAAGTGTTGAAGTATATACGAGGAGGCATTGTGGTAAGCTGAGTACTTTAGTACTATCAGGGGGCATTATCAGTGGGTGACATCATGATGATGAAAAGACGAATAGCACTAAGAATTCACAATGAAATCACACAAATATGACGAATCAATGAGGACATATCCAAGGCCATACAATGGGCTCTAACCTGCGTCCCAGAGGAATCAAGAAGTGAGGATTCCATTCCCCCAAATACGACCTCAACATTTTCCCAGCTTTAAGAATGTTGAGCAAGGCAGCCCATCAGAATCTCGTAATCACATGTCTACCAGTTCAAGAACTTTTAGCCCCAGCGTGGACCTCCGCACCTAGGAATAGAGCCACAAGGCTCTACTTCTACTTCTAGTAGAGCTACAAGGCTTCTACTTCTACTCTACTTCAGGTTATGGAAAACGCCAACAACTATCTCCTCACAATACAGGAAGAAACGGGGGGTTAAGATAACATGATTATGAAAAGATTGGAATAAGATGGATTAAATGAGATGAGATGTTTAACATGATAAACAAGAGAGAAAGCCACAGGAACGGAAGGCAGCACTTGGGTCACTCGCTGACTACTCTCACTTAAGTGATACATCAGTGGGTATGCAGCCAAGGTCAATCTTACTCACAGTTTTAACAATAAGATAACAAAAAACAAAACAATAAAGGGGTCGGGGGTGGCGGAAAGATCGGAGCCTAAGAGCTAACACTCAACCTTTGCAATTACAGTACATTTCGATGAGTAGAGTTGCGAGGTTCATGGACAATGGCCCCACCACCTCCCCTTATCTATCACTGATAAAGGAACGTATCATGATGAGATAAGATCTTGACCAGTGATACAGTACTGGGGGTTGTTATAGGTCCCCCCCCCATACTCGTTTCTTGCCTCTCCCTCTCTGATTGGCTCTGTCGGCTAACAAACCCGTTTGTGCTCAAGCACAAGCCAATCGAAATCGTTCGCACTGGAGCACCAATCATGATGGCGTACCTTACTTGCGTGGTGAGACATTTCGTTTATAGAACGACTAGGAAAAATAATATATGTATACAAAAACAACGACCATCAGGACGCCTCAACAACGACCACCAGGACGCCACAACAACGACCACCAGGACGCCACAACAACCACCCACCAGGACGCCACAACAACGACCACCAGGACGCCACAACAACCACCCACCAGGACGCCTCAACAACGACCACCAGGACGCCACAACAACCACCCACCAGGACGCCTCAACAACGACCACCAGGACGCCACAACACCACCCACCAGGACGCCACAACAACCACCATCAGGACGCCACAACAACGACCACCAGGACGCCACAACAACCACCATCAGGACGCCACAACAACCACCATCAGGACGCCACAACAACGACCACCAGGACGCCACAACAACCACCATCAGGACGCCACAACAACCACCACCAGGACGCCACAACAACCACCATCAGGACGCCACAACAACAACCACCAGGACGCCACAACAACAACCACCAGGACGCCACAACAACAACCACCAGGACGCCACAACAACAACCACCAGGATGCCACAACAACAACCACCAGGACGCCACAACAACAACCACCAGGACGCCACAACAACCACCACCAGGACGCCACAACAACAACCACCAGGACGCCACAACAACAACAACCAGGACGCCACAACAACAACCACCAGGACGCCACAACAACAACCACCAGGACGCCACAACAACAACCACCAGGACGCCACAACAACAACCACCATCAGGACGCCACAGCAACGACCACCAGGACGCCACAACACCACCCACCAGGACGCCACAACAACCACCACCAGGACGCCACAACAACGACCACCAGGACGCCACAACA